TTGGTAGAAAGTAAATGAAGGGTTTTTATTTTTTTCTCTTTTCTTTAAAGCTTTTTGTTTGCTGTATACAGCCTTTAGGGAGAACTGCAACATTTTAAAGTTGAAGCGTCTCAAGCTACATTAAATCCACAACGTGATCTTGATCAACTGGCTCTTTGTGCACTTACGTGCTATTTGTGCACAAAATACAAGTAGGACTATACCTATCCTGTTGTTGGTATTACTGAGATGAGTAGTGAGACTCCTACTGTGTTAAATAAATGTAAAACTGGATAACCTATACAGGCACCCTAACACTGCCAACAAGCAATGCAAGTGAATGCAGTGTAAGTACTGTGTTTTGTCTATCTTGTCTATGTAGCAAAACAGAACAGAGAGCAGTGTGCTTTGTTTGCCCCATACCCAGGTGCTCATTCCAGCTGCAGTATTCATTGGACTTCACAATGATGACTGCTGCGGGTGCTTTGGCCATAAGAACTGTGGGAAAAGCTGTGCGGTAAGCGAGCCTTCACACTGCAGCCCCAGACAGCCCTCAGGACACTGAGAAGACTGTGCTCAACTCTCACATCTGTGTTTGCCCTGCAGATGCTGTCCTCAGTTCTGGCAGCCTGTATTGGGATCCTTGGCTCTGGGTACTGTATAATCATTTCAGCACTGGGCTTGTCTCAGGGACCATATTGTTTTACTCGTGTAGAAAGAAACTGGATCTATCCTTTCACTGAATCCTCTGGAGGGTAAGTTGTCTGTTTGTCCATGCGTTACATCTTTCTCCATGCACATACGGTGTTTGTTCTTTTCCTGGACCTTGCAGCAATATTCAGCAACAATGTACCAATATCCATCCATAAGTTTTTGCTCCTTATTCACTAGCTGAACAGATGGGATCAGAATTGCTCACACTGCTGGAGTTTAAAACACAATAAATTTAAATCCCTCAGTTTTACATGTCTGAAGATGCTGATTAGTTGTGACATTAAGTAACTGAAGGATGTGCAAAATGGTGCTCTTCACAGATCACAGAATCACAGAATCACCCGGGTTGGAAGGGACCTCAAGGATCATGTAGTTCCAACCCCCCTGCCCAGCAGGGCCACCAAACATCCACATTCAGATCAGGTTGCCCAGGACCCCGTCCAACCTGGCCTTGAACACGTCCAAGGACGGAGCATCCACAACCTCCCTGGGCAGCCCATTCCAGGGCCTAACCACTCTCCTTGTAAAGAACTTCCCCCTAACATCCAACCTAAAATAATACTTAATACAAGCTGATAAAGGATACTTGGAAGTAATTGAATGATGCTGTTAATAAAATACTGTCTTGTATAGGTCTCTTTCTCTTAATATATGCAGGCAAATATATCTGTGTACTACATACAGTTCATGTGAGCATAAGATGTACTCTTTTAGGACTTTGAGGGAACCTTGAGCCACATCAAGATCCTTTGCAGCAGAGATTTGGAATTGTACATTTTAGTAGCATCCCTTATGAGAAGAGGCATTCCTTCTTCCCCACTTCTCTCAACTTATGGATGAATACAGAAGAGCTGAATTAATTCCTTGCTCATGGCTCATCAGTGCTTGTGTTCTAGCAAAATGGAAGAGAAGGAGCTGCTGGAATCTATTCCAATTCTCCTCTGAATTTATTCTATGTGTGACTAGTGCAGATTAGGCATGTGAAGGCCCAGAGGCAACAGCACAAAAAATGAAGTGACCCACTGGCTTCAAATTAGTAACTGCTGCCATTAAACGCCCTATCCTGGAAAATTCTGTTTGTTTCAAAAAGTTGTTGTGCTCTTTCAACTGTCTTGACATTGTATCTTATTTTGATCAATAATAGAAGATTTTGCCTTTCTAAATCAGATGTTTTAATGGAAATTAAGACTTAGCCAAAATGTGTGATTCATAGTTCAACGTGTACTGAAACAGAGCAGGATTTGCATGGAATGAGCCCTTATATTTTGTATTCCCACTTAGAGTGATTATCCTTAATGCAATTGCATACCAGATGAAGTTTATTTCTATTGTATTGTCAGCATCCTAATCTGACACAATTTTACTATACTTTCATTTGACGCGTACAGGTACTTGTTGAATTATGATGAGTGGGCTAAATGTCAAGAACCTCAAAACATCGTGCAGTGGAATGTCACTCTCTTTTCCATTCTCTTGGTCTTGGGAGGAATAGAGTTCATCCTGTGCTCCATACAGGTAGTCAATGGTATTCTTGGAGGAGTGTGTAGACTGTGCTGCGGCAGTGATGAGGTAAGCCATTTTTTCAGCTAGTAGAGAGTTAAAGAGTATTGTTACTGATAGCACTGCAGGGGCTTTGCAGCTGTTTTTCTGGCATTCTTAAGCAGCAATGAGTGTACAATTTGCATTTTTTAATGTGACGCTGTTGTGTTCAGCATTTTCATGTAGTATTTGACTACATGCATTTAGCTATTTGCTCAGCTGTCTGCAGTGAAGTTAGTCTTCATGTGAACTGAAAGGGCTGCATGTACACTGTGGTATATATGGTCATCAGCACTGCGTAGGTGATGCAACAAAAATTTGTATCTGAGACTGGCAAGGATCTTTGTTGTAGCCTAAGCCATTATTGCAGTGTGACAGAGTTTTGTGGCAGGCTGTTTCCTCTAGCTGTATTACTTTAGCCTCATAGTTTGCTCACAATAGCAGATAGACTACTGAGAATATGTGTGTCATTTGTAATAAAAACTGCAGCAAAAACCTTGCTTAGTAGATGTGGTGTAAGAGAAGGAATTAAACTGCACATACATAGTAAAGCTGACAGACAAATCTGAAGGACTTCTTGAAGGTTTGCTTTTGTATATTTTTGTTTTTTATGAGTGAGGAAGGGGAAAATCCTCTAGTTTCTTTAGCATCTTGTTAGACACTTTGAGACTTCTGTTAAAATCAGTCTGTAGTGGAAATGCTGGGTCACAGCTTGAAGCAGTGATGGAGCACCTGGTGAGAAGGCAGGGCCAGCCCAGAGGATCTCAGGTGCATGCAATGTACTGAGTGACTGGAAGGGCTGGAGCCAGGATCCATCCCTTCCCAGACTTCATTTAGGGTTGGCAGTGGAGCTGAGGGTATCTCTTGCTGGAGATGCCTGTATCCCTGAGGCCTTCTGAGGGTAAGCAATTTTTTTTCATTTGTTTCTATGCCCACAGCTGCTGCATTTGGGCTCTTCCTCAGTTACTGCAGCATAGGACTTTGCTGCTCCATTGTTGTTGCTGTGCTTTCCACCATGTTGTAGCATTGCAGCCTCATAGATGTAGTGTTGGAATTGCCTTATAGTATGAAAGTGATACAATTTATAACGTGTGCGTGTTATGGCCCAGAGCATTTTGCATTTTGATTTGATGTGGTTGAATGCTGTGGCACTTTGAAAGCATTACTGTCTTCTGCTTCCTATCTTCTGTGCTGTTACTGGGGTTTACAATGCTGTGCTATGGCTCTCTAGATCTGCTTGGGTTAATTGTAGCTCTTACAGTTAGATACAATATTAGTGTTCTTCCTCTTAATGCGTGTTTGTTTCTTTTTGTTTCCCTCACAGACACTTTCTTGCTAGAAAACAAGAAAACGGGTTGAAGTTGGTGTATATGCGTGGTGCGTTGAGTATCCTGTGTTGTTGTTTTTTGGTTTCTTAAATGTTGTATGTATACTGAAGTGCACACTTTGTTATCAAAGTATATGGCGACCACCAATTTAACTGACTTAGGGCTCTGTTTTTGAATTCATATCCATGTTTTCCATTTTCCACTGACCTGCCTGCATCTGAAGATAAAATGAGCTGCTTTGGTTCATTTCATGGACAATTGGGATCAATAAAGTTTTTAGTTGTTTTTTTTTTTTTTCTTTTTTTGTACTCACACGACAGCTCTGTGCTTCAGGCTGCTTTCACAGTAAAGTTGCATTTTTCATTCTGATGTTGAAACGAACGTGAACTGTAGTCTGCTCTGGAAATAAATTAGTTCTCACTGGAGTAACAAATAAAGCAACAGTAAAATATGGATGACCAAGAGCAACAATGAACTTCTGCTTTTAAAGAACTGGAAAAGTATTAGGATATTAAAGTGTGGATTTCTCTAAGCTGCTCCTGTTTCAAGTATGGGTTTGTATTAAAATTACCAGCAACTGTCAGTGTTTCTGCCTGTGCTGAAGCTGTTTTCTTGATCCTAGAGGAAGAGATAATGGTGGCATAGAACATAAATATGAAACTGAGGAGGAACTTCTTTACTTCAGGGGTGACAGATTACTGGAACAAGTTGTCTGAAGAAGTGGTGGAGTCATCTCCTCTGGAGATGTTCAGAACTCCCCTGAGAGCTTTCCTGTGAAACCTACTGTAGGGAGCCTGCTTTGAAAGGGGGGTTAGTCTGAATAACCTGTAGAAATCCTTGCCAACCCTGTGATTCTTTGAAGACAACCTCCTTTTTCTACTCAGCAGATACTGTCAGAGTAAGAGATGCTTCAGTCTTCAAACTCCTTTACTCACAAGGACTGCTTACCTCTTGACTACCTAGTCTTGTAACAAAAAAACCGTGGGTCTGGGTTCTTGTTTCCAGCCTGCTCCCAGGCAGGGCAATATAGTTCAAATGCAGATCAGCAGCACTAGACTAATCTGAAATATTACATTTCACCAACAAGGAACCTGGACCCTGTATCCAAAGACCCTGTGCAAGAGTCTGAAGTTTATCTTGTAGCATATTGCAGCAAATGTTTTACCCCATAGTAAAGTAAACCTGAATGATACGCTGCTAATAGCATTACTGAGAAGGTCAGTATGCTGCTGGGAGTGGCATTTTATAAGAAAGAACAAAACATGATGTTGGTTTAAAAGAAAATGAGAGTGACAGCTATTACTTCTCCACTTTTGGAATCTAACAGATAATGTCTTATTTGAAAATGGACAAGTTAATTTATGTTTGTGGGAAAAGGAATTTCCCACAGGTGTCAGTGCATAGTTAGTCCTATGTTAAGTCCATAGTTAAAGTCTCCTTTAACTAGGAGAGTGGTCTTTAAAAGTAGCCGGAAACAAGGTTTTTCCTCACTCTCTCCTCCTGTCCAAGTCTGTCACCTACAGATGTGTCTCTGTTAAAGGAAGTTAACTGAAAATGGGGAATTGCACACACAGGTCTATGGCAGCAAAAAGACATCGGAAAAAACAACCCCTCAATAAGAGGAATGCTGAGTTTCTGAACACAAACGGGTAGTTCTTGCAATACCACTCATTCATACACAAAGTATGCAGAATTAGGTGAAGGCGCTTTAGTATAGTATAGATTCTGCATGCTGTATTTATCCTTGTCTTATTCTGCTGTGGCAAAGAAGATGTGCATGTATGTGCACTCAGTTCCTTGTTGCTGTGCAGTGTGATGTCTTTGTATATGAAAAAGCACTTTGAAAGAGGATTTGCAAGGTTAAATTTGGTATGAAATCAAGGATAGGAGGAAGAGGACAAAATATGATGGAATATGGTATAATATGGTATAATTCCCAGAAAGTTTAAAGATTTTACCTGTACACTTGCATAGTTATTACTTGTCTTTCTGATACACATAACTAACTAGGGAACTGAAACTAGGTTAGGCACGCCAATGAACAGAATGACTAGGGGAGAGTTTAGAACTAAAACTGTGTAGCACCACTAATGTCACCTCTCGGTTTTTATGTTGCTGTTGTTAAAATAAGCTGCTTAAATTCCTTCAGTGCCTAATGGCTGACTTTGGGGAGTTTTATTAGTTACATTGTAGAAAAGCAGTTGTTTTGGGTTGGATTCATCTGGGTTAACGGAGATGAATCATCCAAAGTCAACAAAGGGTTTTCAGTAATGAGCTCTGCATGGACTCGTGGACGTTGGCAAGCAACAGGAATCCAGCTTTTGCAGCACTTAAGATATTTGAGAAACTAATTGCCAGGCTTGCTTAATAGTTGGTGTAAAATGGTGGTGTCCTGTTCTGGCAGTATGTGTGGCAGCAAAACACTCTTTGATGTGACATTTGCAGAGCTCAGTTTAAATATGAAGTGAGTCATGTGGTGTGTTGGCACGCTAGAATGGATGCTATTTCAGGTGTCATTTTCTTAGTGAGTTTCTTCTAAACAGAGCAGATTATTATGGGAAGTTGCCCACTCTGTAATAATTCAGGCCTTTGCTTTTAGGAAGAGAAAAAAAAAAAACATTTTGACTTACTAAATGAATTATGAGTCTAGTAATAAAAATCAATCCTGGGTTCTGATGTGCCTGCTTTTAATTCAGCTGTTTTCCATTACCGGAAGGAGCAGTACTGATACCACATCTGTGAGTGCTGGAGAAGGTTTGTCACTGGTTCCAGTTAGAGGAGGGGGCTTGAAAACATGCCCCTGGTGATCAGGGAATAGAGAGGAAATATGGGAAGAACTTCAGTGTAACATCTGAAGGCTTTAAAGTGAATCTCTTGGGAGAAAAAAAGTGAGAAAGGGAGAGTCAGAGCAGAAAATGGATAGGAAATAAAATGGTGCAGTTGCATGAGTGCCACCATGCCCATTTCCTTGGGAAATATATAAAAAATGACATCGTTGATTTTAAAAGATTCCCCCCCCCTTATTTTTTTCTGTAATGTTGAACTTCCTATTAAGTAAACCTTAAGCTTGATCTTTAATTACTTTTCTGATAACTTACTAGGGCAAGAGAAGAAGATATGTGTTGTGCTTTGACATTCAAACAGCTCTGGCTCTGCTGTACTGGAATGGACGCTTAGTTGCATGGGGCTGTCAGAACAATGACAAATTAAAATGAGGAAAGTGCCTGGCTCCTGCTTCCCACAGTGCAGAGCCACAGATGCATTTCAGAAAGCAGCCAGACCTCTTGTCATGTACTTAGGTCAGATCTGTACCCATACATGCTCAAATGTAAGTTCAGAATAAAACTTTGCACAATAGCAGGATTTATCTCATCAAACAGTTCATCATTCTGCTGAAAATAATAAAGAAATGTGATTATATCTGCCTGGCAGTTTCTAGCTGGTGTTGCTTGGACTTCTGTGTGCCCTGTGTTGTGCTCAAGACTCAGGTTAGTGTTTCTGAAGGGATACCTCATGTCAGCAGCCAGTGCTGGGCTCCATGTGAGCTCTCGTGTGCAGTCAAGTGTTGAAGGGACCTCTGTTTCCTTTAGATTTGTGTTGCTACAATTTTCTAATAGTAATAGCTTAGGCCAATATCTGCGTGAACTTTGAGGCAACGTGGACTTTCTGTGCAGATGCTTGACATCTGTCAAACAGCCCATGTAAGGTCAAATTATCGCTACAGTAATGATGAACCATTTGCCTCATGCTGCAGAACAGCTGCACAGGAATCTATTTCAACAAGAGGAGTGTTTCTATGCGGTCACTAGGAAGTGAGATTTTTTTATGTTCCTTCCTGAGTCTAACTCGTAGACGTATTTAATTAGGGAGATCGTTAAGGAGGACCTTTGAGAAGGGAAACTGCTACTTAAAGACATGTTTAGAAAGGACAGGTAGTTTAGGCAGCAGAATTTGTCTGTTCTTCTACCTACAATTAAGCAGTGGAGTCATATGAAGTGACTGAATCAAACAGGAGGTCAGAATACTTTTTGTATTTTAAACCTTGTAATCTTTTGTTAGCTTAGAAGAGCAAAACTTCTAGTATTCTTGAGAGATGGCTTTAGAAACATGTGGAAGCTGTTTGAGCTGTCTGCTGGTCCCTCTTGCACTTTGGAGCATTGTTGTTAATGTCCTTTTATATTTCCCTAATGGGAATGCTTCATATGTTGCTAGTTACCAGCATCCCAACTATGTGTGGTATTTTGAAGGCATCTGTTTCTCAGGTGTGATGGTAAGTGCTGATTTTATGGATCTTTAATTATTTGCAGTAGAATTGCATGTCATATTCAGTTACTGTGCAGTGAGATAATTACACTTCCAAAGGAAGTATGGATTTCTTTCTTGCAACAGTATGGGAAAAACTTGATCAAGCTGAAGAAATTGTGAATATCTTGAATGACATGCTGTGTATGCTGCTTTATTTCATACGTGTGATTTTGCAAGGCAAATTTATTTTTCCCGTTGGCTTTTTGTTTATGTTTAACTTGGACTCGTGTTACTGAGTCATGCGCTATTTTGATTTGTTCTTTTATGGACGTAGAATTAAAGCTCTTTAGCAAGGCAAAGCAAAAATCTGTAAAAGCCTATCATAACTGTCTGTAGGTTTTAAAGCTCTGTATACAGAGGAGTGGTTCACAGTGTCACTGTTATTAGGCTAAATATAGAGAATTGTGGAGAACTGTGACTGGTGTAGGTGTATTTTTCCCGTTACGTTTGTAATATGCTCATCTGCAGTAATAATGTGGTGTTGGCTACTGCTCATGCTGTTCACCAGGCTCGTAAAGATCTGTAGCCTCAGGAAAAGAAAGCAGTAAAGTAATAAGAGTGTGAACAAAAATCAGTGTTAGAAAAGGGCAAATGTGCAATGATTTATGTGTTTTTATGATGTTGCTGAACTGGGAGAGATACAAAAACTTTATTTTTGTAATTGAATATTCTTCCTAAAACAGAAGAAATCCCAACCTTCTGAGCACAGGGAGAAGAGTATCACACAAAGAATTTTAATGGAGAAACATAGTTGGAAAATTTACCAGAAAAAAGTTAACTGCAAACTACCTTCATACTTTGAAACATTTTTAGCCTGCGGATCTTTAACAATTTATTACTTGCATGTATATTTTTCTGTTGCAAACAGGGCAGTATGTTAAAGCAGTTTGCTTGGAGGGGTGTCCAGTACACCTGGAATCAACTGCCCCAGGTGTGGAAATGTAGTTCTGCCATTTGGCATGGGCTGATTCAGGCTGCATTGGAGCAGGGAGAAGCTCTTGAGCACCTGCAATGTATTAATTTAAATGTATTGGAAGAGAAATCATTTCACACAGGTCTCTGAGCAACATCAAGCTTTTGAACAAATAACACAGGAGATAATGATGTAGCCTTAGGGCTAGTCTGGACAGGACAAGATGTAAAAAAAAAATAAGTATGTTCTACACTGCAGCAGGGGAGAGTGGTCCCACTCAGAGCCTCTGACAGAAAGCCCCAGGGGAGACTCGAGGTCACTTGGAAGGGTTTTGGAGTTGAGGATACAGAGGATCCAAGGCTCACTGAAAGAGAGATATTGGTAGCATATGAAGGGGTTCCAGCTGCTTCGGAAGTGATTGGTACTGAAACACATCTCCTAGCTGTGAGAGAACAGTGCTAGACTTTAGCCAGCATGTTCTGCTAGAGCTCATCCCAGCAGTAAAAGTGCAAATGTCAGCAAAGTTTCAGGTGGCTCATCTTATGTATTTCCAAACAATGATTTACCTGAAGTGCTGCTATGACTGATAACCATTGTATTTTGGAATTAGCTCTAAGCTCTTTTTTTCTTGCAGTTTTTTACTAACAGCCCTTTCAAGTGACAAATCCAGGGCCTTCTTTGTTTTTCCAAACTGTTTCAGAAACACTGCTCGTTTTTCCTTATTCAAAGGAATGCCTTTCTGAGTGGCAGCTTGTGATTCTGGAGCCCAAATCTTATTTATTAAACTTCTAGTATCAGGTTTAAATAATCCAGTAAGCAAAAGGAAGTTCACCATACTACTGACTTCTGGGTTTTTTTTAAGCATGTGTTGGTAAGGAAGAGAATTTGCCTCACTACAGCTGCAGTCACTCACTGTGTTCCCTTACAGATTCTTCTGTTGGCAATAATTCTCATAGCACTGGAGTGTAATGCATTCTATCGGTGCTGCCGAAGTGAGAGCTGTAACAAAACCTACAGAGTGAGTCTATCTTTTATTTTTGCTTGTCTCTGGCATTTGTTCTACATGGCTTCCTCCTCCTGTGTCTCTAGTGCATCCTTCTCCTCTGCTCTGGTTCTGCTGCTTTTCACAGAGAAGGATTCTGAGTCAGGTTGAGAGGTCGCAGAAAGGGCAGCTCTTTCCTGTTGATGCATATTCAGGATGGAAAAGAATCTTTGTAGAGTGAAACAAGATAAAATAAAAAGGCTGGAGTGTTCTAACAGAGTTCCCCATCTAAATAGTTTCATCTCCTTGTGGTTTTTTTTTGTTGTTTTTTTTCCCAGTACCGACTCAATAAGCACTATCTGGAATGCAAACATATTAAATATGCGCTTATATTCCTCTTGCATTCTGGGATACAGTTTTGTGGGAATGTGAGTTTAAAAAAAATCAGTACTTAACTGATATTATGGAACTGCCTTACACAAACAGAGTAAAGATAGAGTTTATGCTTACTGATTATTGCCTAGTATTTTTCTCTCAGTAGTGAAGACTGGGACAACCACATGTGAAATTCAACCCCAGAGAAGTAGATTGGCAAGGACAGTGAATACACATGATGCAGAGACTGCTCTCATACAGGAATATTTTTCTCTCTTCAGAGTTTTATTTCAATTGTGCTAGCCATGCTTGGAGTTGCTTTCTCTGGATACAGTTGCATCATTTTTACCTTGGGATTGATCCAAGGCCCTTTCTGCAATTCATCCAGTGGATGGGATTACATCTTCAAAGATACTGTTGGAGGGTAAGAAACATCAGTTTTAACTAGTTTGTTCTACTAATTTTCTCAGGGCTTTACAAAAGATGGCACAGTCTCTTGAGCACAAAACCTATACTGTAAGACATTTTTAAGTTGTTCAGTGAGCAACAGCATCTTCAAAGAAAGCTATTTGCCTCCTAATGATAAATGCTAAAGGTAAGAATCTTTGTACTGATCAGACCTGGAGGTCTGTAGAGACAAGCAGACTTTATCTGGTGATGATCACAACTTTGTGTAGCAAAGAATAAAATATTAGATGCACTGTAGACGTATACTTCCATAATATTCTCTCAAATTCCTCAAGTTCTTCATTCAAAGATTATGAATGTCATTTTAATATTTAATAACTCAGGAGGTTTCCCTTTAACACCTAAACTCAATGAAGTCTGCAGTTTGATCATTGGAAGGTTATGCATACTGCTGCAACATCTCATAAAATACTTGAGCAAAGTGCTGTTGGTGTTTTGGACTACGGTAGCTCGAAACATTTCATAAGATCAATAATGTGGGGATGCTTCCACAAAATTTTACATTATCCCTTTAAAAAAATCAAAGTTTTACAAGACTTGGATTTTTCACAGCGTATGATACCAGGCTCTTCCACTTGCATGTGAATGTGCTGAGGATTAAATTTGTCAGTGAATCATAGGCACATCTCTTCAGCATAAACAGGAGTAGTTCCTATAAAATAGATATTGCCCTCTCTGATTGAAATTAGCTCTCTTTTAACATCCTGAAATGCATCCTGCAATCTCTGTTATGTATTGCCAGCCTTACCATCCCATTTGAAAATACATGTGCATAAAATGGAAGCTTGATTTTAACTTAAAGGGCCAAGTGCTGAACAATGTCCTCAAAATGATGGATGTTTAGAAAATAACCAACAAAGCTTCTTGCAATGAACCGCCAGGCCATAGCATGTCTCAGTTAAAAGGGCACATAACATTCCTCAAGTGTGCAGAATGTGGCTCTGGAAGTTGCATATGGTGACACACCTCAGCTCTGCCACACAGGCTGCATCCACTGGTCAGAGTTTTTGGATGTTCCTACTCTTTGTCATCTAGACATAATCAAAAGCTGAAATTAAATCAGGGAAGGAAGTCCCTTCTTTAGACTTGGCTTCTTCCTTTGGGGGGAAGGGGGGAAAGCAACATCTCTCTTAACATTTGGGTGTCTTACTGGGAAGTTAATGAAGCAGTTGAGGAACCCAAGTCTTTATTCAGCTGAGTTTGGCAAACTTATCTGGGACTTACTCTACTGTAATGAAAGACCAGCCCTAAACTTCAAACATATAAGGCATAGTATGGGTTTTCTATATAGTAAAGGTAAAATAATGTGTATTTAAATTTGATTGGAAAAGTCAATTTAATTTGCCTCACGTTGCTTTTTCTCTGATAGATACCTCACAGATTACTCTGCTTGGTCTCAATGTGCTGAACCTGCTAATGCTGTGGAATGGACCATCATTTTACTCTCTATTCTGATGACTCTTAGTGGACTGCAGTTGATCATCTGTTTTCTTAAAGTGGCTGCTGAGCTGAAACGTACACTGTGTGGGACCTATTCTGTTTTTATTCAGGTAACAAAGGACCTGAGGTCATTTCTTCAGAATCTTGAAGGTCAGTTTAGCTTCAGCAGTTTCTCCCAGTAGATGACTTTCCCTCTTGGTTTATGCGTTCTCTTTGCTACTGCATATTAATTAGCAGGAGATGTGTGCTGATAGTAAACCTGCTGCATCCTAGCCATCTGCCGTTCAAGGATGGCTGACTGCTCACTCTTGCCTTTAGTGCTATGATTAATGAAAAAACGAGGATTTTACTCCCATGTCAGCAAAAGCTTCTGTGCAACCTTCTCCTGTCATTCATTTGTGTGCATGAAGAGTTTAGGTTAGGAAATGAATGTTTAAGTCAAACAAGATATATGTTAGCTTGAGCTGAAAGAGAAAGAAAGTAACCGACAGGCCTTACACTTCCTTCCTTTTCGTTTGCAGGCTGGGATTCTCTGAAAACGGCAAAACGCTGAACCACTGTTTTCCTAAAGAAAACACTGTTTTCCTACCTGTTTAGTTGTCTCTGGCAGTGACTTTTTTTAACCCTCCAGCTTGGGTCTGAACCCTCAGGGAGGTCTGAATACTGCAGAACTCCTTTTGTAGTAAAACCATCTTTTTGGAATAAACTGCTGTATTTATAGTACCCTCTTTTTGTTTAGAAAATGAGAGTATTTGTTCTGAAAGGGCCTGATTCAAACCCTAGCATGTCAAGAGAAATTCTCCCTTGAGAATTAATGTGCTGGACGAAGCCATGGTTTCTACATGACTGAATTTCAGTTACAGACAGACCACGATAGTCATGAGAGGCAGAAGCTCATGCTGCATTTTTTGTCCTAGAAGCTTATTAACTGTACAAAGCAATTTATGAAAAAAAGTCTAGCAAGTCTTACCAAGGTAAGGCATCTAGGCCTGATTGAAGATGAGAAATGCATCTTCAAAGTCAGCTATACTAGTTAGTGTGCTTTAATAGGTGCCTTGGGATTCTTTTTTACTCAAGAGACAGGCTTTTTTTTTTTTTTTTTCTTTTAATCGAGTATTATGAGAATTTTGGAAATATATGAGGAAACCCTGTGAATATCGAGTGCTAGCTTGTTAATACTTGTAAGTATCCTGACTCTGCTGCAGGAGAAGGCTGGCATTCTTGCCGATATCTTGCCAATAACATTCAGAATTTCAGTAATTTAATTCTGTTTCAAGACAATTCTGAGATTTTTGTATTGATATTCCTCTGGCAGATATTTTGAAAAGCTGGTTTCTTTCTTCAGGAATTAAGTAATGTTTTTTAAATTTAGTTTATATGAAGTTGAAAGAAGTAATAAAAAGTTACTGATGTTTATGAATGGGTCTGCTCTTTTGGATGACAACTCAAGATGGCGTGGATGTTCAGAGACGTGCTAAAAAGGCATGATGACAAAATGGGGATTCTGCAACAGCACACTTGTTTTTTTCCCTAGGTATAAATGTCTCATATCACATAACTACTTAAACAATGATCTCACATTCTTACGGGCTTATGAATATTGTTTGAGGAGAGGTGGCAAAAAGACCCACAAGTTTTAACAACCAGCTATTGCTCCTTCTCACTGTACTGGAAAATCTTGTTGACTTTGTGCCTATAAACAATGGAGTTACTCAGGTTTTGGTTCTTTTGATGAAAACTAGTATGCGTGGAGCATACATTTAGAGTAGAAAGCCCCTAAAATTGCAAAATAGGTGAAGGGCTGTAATTCATCCAGGAAATCAAACAGCATTCTACTTAGATTCCAGCTCAGTCATGGGGAAAATACAAGCTTATCTTCAGACATACAGGGTCTACTGAGGTAGATTTTTTTTATGCCAGATAAGAGCAATGTAATAGCTGGAAGTTGCTGTTGAAAACACTTAACCCTTTTTTTTGTTGTATCTATCCTCTCCAATTTCCAGTAACATCTGTCGCTTACAATCAGGTATCTTGAGATATGTGACACAAAGGTTTCAAAGTGGTGTTGTGTAGTTCTTGTTGAGTGCATCGATTCTGCAACCCTCTTTATCCATAATCCAGATACTGGCATTTTCATTGCCCTGGTCAAAACTAGACTGCGACTTGACTTCTAAACTTTTAAATAGGCAGTTTATTCATTTGAAATTCATGGTGCGAGTACTAAAAGCTGGAAGTGGGTTTTTGACACAGATTTTCTAAAGGTAAGGCAGAGCTAAATTTGGTCTAATCACTTAAAGACTCCATTCCATCCTAAATACACAGTCTCTCATAAACAGTGCCCAGAAGCAAAACAAACCCCAAACAACAGCACAGCAAGGTGATTTCTGTAAGGAATATTAACTGACTTGAAATCCGTATGTACCCAATGGTGATGTCTGGGACGTGACTGGCCCTCCAGCTGCAGAATACAGGCTTCATCCCAGCCACAGAAGGAAAACGTGACCTGTGGAGCCTGGATAAAGCTCACACCATGCTGGCAGACAAGAAGCCCTTTTTTGAAAGTCTCCTGAACCTGAATGCACGCGCTGTCTGCTCAGATTTGCACGTTAAATACCCCATGGTACTTCTGGAAGAAAGCTGCAGATTGGAGTTCATAGCTGTCTGTTAGTGAGGAGTTCATACTGAAACCTGGAGGTAAGATTGTCAGCAGTTCTTTGCAGTTCTCAAATCAAGGCAGAGTAAATGAGGAGCATGAAAGCCCTAAGACAAAGAAAGGCTCATATCTTTACCCTTAAATAAATAACAGGGTCTCTGGTACACTGGTTGTGTGCATTTTCTTCTCAGTGACCTTTGAACACATTTAAACCAAATAGCTCACATGTATGTGCACATATGTTAGCTGTGCATTGAGGAATGTCTTTGAATTCCAGTAGCATAAGAGGAGTTAACTTTTTTTTTTTTTACCTCAGTTAGTTACAAGGAGGAACATGCAGCCTCAACAAACTGACCTTTCCACTAATCACTGACTTTCATCTGCGTAAAAGAAAAATAAAAAATCTGTGTGGAAGTTGTTCTGAGCACATGATGCTGACTTGGGAAACTCCAGAATTTCGTGATGGATCTAGTCAAATTTCAAAACTTGGCTTTGGTTACAGTCTTTTAGACGGAAGCAGGACTTTTCCATTTAATTCAGCCATTCAGAAGGTTCCAGAACGTGATACTGTGGTGGTGATTGATGTTTTCTGCATGGACTGTGGTTACTATTGGTAATTTGTCTATATAGCTTAGTCCAGGTACATGAAGTTTAGATTTCTTTGCTGTTAAAGGAAACCTATTGCACTTTACTTATAGTCTGAATTTGTGTTTCATCCAAAATAATCATAATTATGAAAATAGCTTCAAAGATGCTGTCATATAGGGAGAAGTGTCATTTTTAATGTGTGATCAGAGTGCAAAAGAGATTAAGAGAGCCCAAGTGACTATGAATACTTTTTTTTAAAAGAAGCGTTTACAGTTTGCAGGTTTTCAGTTGGCCCGAGCTGTTTACAGCTTCAGATGAACCACGACAGCATGGATATAAGCTTGAAAAAATGTCCAAGTCTGGTTAGGTGCTTTTTGAAAGCCCTGGGTTTAAGGTTAATTCTGTTGTTGTTTTTCAACGAAACCAGTCAATAGAGAATATTTGCCAAATTTGAATAAAACAAAAGTGTAACCTTCAAGAATGAATAGTAAATGTAGATAACAGTAGCTGTTACAATGATCTTGAGCTTCATACATCTATTATGCTTTTAATCATTGAGGAATGTGGCTTATCCTGTCCAGTAGCAGGCCTGAAGGAGGATAACGTAAGGAGTTAATGCTGTGGAATTTCTGAGCCTATTTTCCATTTGAGCAGTACTGAAATTGCTTGGAAATGGAATGCAACCATTCCCCTGCCTTGGCCTCAATCCTTGAATACGTATCCATTTCTTCTTTAGCTATATTTTCCATACTTCGTTCCAAAATTATACTTACTTGGGAACTGTGGTAGGTTAGCAGAGCTTATCCAAGTATGCATCAGTGTCTAAATGCTGCTCTGACAACAGTAACCTCAGTCCTCCTTCATCCATCTCTCTCTTGCCAGTTCAGTAATTGCTGTACAAAGGGAAAGCACAAGAGAGCTGTAGATTCAGAAAGCACAAGATAAATATGCAGCAGAAGTTTGCACGTGCAGGATCTGCCTTGCTTTCAGTTATGTCCACGCAGAACAGACACAGCGAGAGAAATTGATGTCATTTATTGCTTTTCAAAGCGCACCTAAAACATTGTGTTCTTCAGCCAGTCTTCACAGAAATGATTTTCTCAACAGCATACAGGCTACAGAGATAGGGATAAAGACAATGAAGAAGGTAGCTAAACTTATTTACCTTCAATTAAACTACAAGATTTACAATCTGATAACAGCCTAGTACCAGTAGTACTGATAACAGTTCTAGTAGCTGGCAGAAATGGAAAAAATTCCTTTGAAGATTACGAGAACTAACAAGGTTACCAGAATCTCTTGTTTACACTTCACGCACAGAGACATTGTGCAACGTTTTATTATATTCGCCAAAGCAAATCAGGAGGGTAAGGGTGGGGGTGGGAAAGACCATATAAAGGGAAATTGCATGTACTCGTTCTCTGTTTCACGCTTTCCACGAGGTTCGTGAATGCAGAATGAAGCTGTACTTGTTAAACGTTGTGCTGCTTTTTTGCTGTTGCCGAAGTGGGGCAGTGACCAGGAAGTATTACATCGGGATTATAGAGACAGCATGGGACTATGCTCCTGGTAGTACTGATATCATATCTGGACAACGTTTTGCAGAAGAAGAGTAAGTAATGTAGTTTGTAGTTCATAGTTCGTACTGATGGAGTTTTATTTAATAGCAATTAATTGTCTGCTTTAGATGCTAGGACCAGGACCTGGTGAAGTCGGTGAAATGAATTGTGCTAGTGTCAGTGAACCTGGTGGCTGACATATAAGGGAGTATTTACTTTTTCCTGACTTGCTTAAGAACGAAGTTGCGACTCTCTGCTGATGAAAAATGTTGTACAATGTAATGTTCTTTTTGTGACTTTATCGTAATGAAGCGTTTATTAACTAGAGGTAGGGAAATGATCATGTGAATGCCTACTGTCATTTTGAATTAGCCAAGTGGCAGTGATGAAGGGAAGGCTTCTGCTTTTACATTTTTAAACTCAGAAGTTCAACATGTTTTTTCTGTTCTGATTTTTCTGTTGGGCACAATTTTCCTTTTTAAATGTTTGTTGTTGGCAGTGGTCTCTTTCGTGTGGAGATGCAGCAGCTGGAGTGTTTCATGCAAGAAGGGCTCTGTGCAGTATGAGAAATAGAGGATAACTGTGGTGAGGAGAAAGGTGACACCCTGAAGACATAAATAATGAATAAAGAAAACTCAGATATCAGAGGCACCAAAGAAAGTATTGGACAGGAAAAAGAAATAGTCATCCTTTCTACTTTTTTCAGTGCTTTTAAAATGAAGTAGAACTATACTAAATGAAGAGTGAAGAAGTATATCACTAGTAAGAAGAGTCTTCTCCTTGCTGACTGTGAAGTCAACATAACATGATACTTGTTGGTTTTAACTGGCTTTGGAAGATTATGCAGAACTTGAAGCATGTACAAAAATGTTGAGCAGGAAGACCTGTTGTTTGACTTATAAGCAGCAGAAAATTGTGTCAAGTATCCTTATCTTCAGTCTACAAAATAGGTAGAAAAAATTCATAGTTGGTGTGTAGCATTTAGTCTCTATCTGAGTGCCTGTACTCTTCAGAAATGTGAATGTATTTGCTTCTAAAGGCAGATTGTGCACAGTGCTACGGAGGCTTGGCTTTTGTTTGAGATCTGCTAATTAGCACTGTTCAAGTATAAAGTGAATATCTGACGTTGTGTATTTTCTTTACAGGCAAGCTGAAGTCTTCCTTAAAAGAGGACCGCAAAGGATAGGAAGCATTTATAAGAAGGCTGTCTACACTCAGTACACTGATATTTTATATGATGTGATAGTGGAGAAACCTTCCTGGCTGGGTTTTTTAGGCCCTATCATTAAAGGAGAAGTTGGTGATTCCATTGTTGTTCACTTGAAAAACTTTGCTTCCAGAAACTACACACTGCATCCACATGGTGTAAAATATACAAAGGAAAACGAAGGTAAGCTTGAGTCCATTCTGTGTCAGAATTTAACAAAAGCTTTGTCATCAAAGATACAACTGCCTAAGCGAATTATCTTCTGAAACAAGACACACTCCGTTTAAAATAGGAGCTGATTAAGAACTTCTGGTATTTGTTCAAGAGTGAAATACTGAGCCAAAAGTGGGGTTCGTGTAGAAGGCGATTTTAGATCAACGTTCCATCTGAAATAAGGGTAATGTAGGGATGTCTGAAGGAAAAAAACAATGATGCTGTTGTAAAGAAAATACTGTTTGTATAAGTTATAACTCTTAACGGTATTAAGAATTCTGAATTATACACAAGATATAAGATACACAAGTTCCTTAAAACAGGCAAATGCCTTCAGCTTAGGTAAATTCGTGAAATAGCCATCACGCTTTCAGATGTACTGCAGCAATGCTACTGGTATTAGTGAAGACAATAGTTGTTGGCAATAGGGGAGACTTTCAAGCTGTGAAACACTGCTGCAGTTTCACTGAAATTAGTGGAGTCCTTGCATATTGACAGGCAGAAGAGTCGCCCTCTCTTCTGGACAATCTATGGAGTGTTTTTGTAGCATCTTTTATGCATACAGCAACCCATGAATGTGCCATCTGTCAGAAAGAGCAGCGTGTCCCTCCTGAGGAAATACTGTGATTCCAGTTTCCTCCTTGAAAACTACTGAATGTCGTATGATGACATCTAAACCTGAGGCTGTGGTCTGACAATTCACTCTGCCAGATGCACCTCACTGGGTAGTTTTCCATACTATTATCTGCAACAAAGACTGCACTGGAATATAGCCACTGGAAGTTTTATTAAGATGCCTTAAAAACTGTGAATTATTGAGTAGATACTGTCAAAAGTAGTCTTTGAAAATTTTTCAGTGGGAAAAAAAATTGTGAAATATTAGTTTAACATCTAATATTTTTAAAGGCTTTTCATTACATCAAATATGTGACTTGGTATTGATGCACTATTGGAGCAGAACAGCATGTTGTATGGTAATATATAGAACAATGTTTGCAATTTTACCACTGTTGCTCTTATTTGAGGCACACCTGTGTTCCTTGGAGAGGAATGCAATGTTTTAGAATAGATTCCAAGATCAATATTTAACAAATGTTTTACAAATATTTTAGCTGTTGTCTCTTTAGCAGAAGTACACTGTGCCCTCTTAACAAAGAACTCAATTTAAAGTTATTTGTCAAAGTGCACCTGCAGAACTCAAAGTCGAGTAAAGGAATTCTAGCAGAAGGGAAAGCTCTATCCATCTGAATTAAAATTTGTTTTACCTCTATTCAAGTATTCAGTCCCTGTTATTGCAGCATGTAGTCAACTTGAAAGCACTGTTCTGACACCGTATTGTGAAATGTGTTATGTTAATGTTGGCCGTGTGCCATTCCTCAGGTGCTTTTTATCCAGACAATACCAAAGGTTTTGAAAAAAGAGATGATGCTGTGAAGCCTGGAGGCCAGTACACTTATACGTGGGATGTGACAGAAGATCAAGGTCCTGCTGAAGGAGATGCAGACTGCATTACCAGGGTTTACCACTCTCACATAGATGCTCCAAGAGATGTTGCCTCAGGGCTTGTTGGGCCTTTAATAATTTGCAGGAAAGGTAAAATGTGGATTAACTACTACATATGCAAGTTGATTGATAATGGCACTTGATAAATATAAATGAACTAATTTTCTGGAAGAGGAAATTAAGAGTTCGTTTTGAAATAGTGGATTTTGTCTTGTCAGTTATCTGCCATGCAATAATAGGATGGGATTTAATTTGATTTTTGTGTGCAAGGCAAATGAGTGAAATGTGTTCATGCTAGTAATGCAAAAGTGTGACATTGATATGTAGAACAAATGTTTTACATTATCATCACATACAATATTTATTCTTAGCAAAGTTATTTTACAGCGTCTGTTAAATCCAACCTTTGTTTTCCCAATATGGCTGTAAGTTCATACATACAGTTACACTCAAGATAAACAACAAAATGTCAAGTAAACAGCCATCATTCTTACCAATACTGTGCTTAAAACTGAACAGATATTGCCAGTTGCTGGAGAATATGCTACTTTCTTTTTCAGGTGCAATGAATAAGGACAACAATCAATATGTCGATGCTGAGTTTATCCTTATGTTCTCTGTGATGGATGAAAATCTCAGCTGGTATCTAGAGGACAATATCAGGACGTACTGTTCTGAGCCTTCCAAAGTTGACAAAGATGATGAGGACTTTCAGGAAAGCAATAAAATGCACTGTGAGAGAACTTACTGTTAATGTTACTTGCCATTGATGTAAAGAGGTATTGGTTGTTTTATGGGTTGTCTCTTTTAAGGATTTTTTTTTTAAAAACAGAACTTTTTCTTGGAGAATTAAACTCCTTTTAAAATTAAAAAAAGGAAAAAAAAAAAAAAAAAGTTATGACCAGTATTGTACAATCAACCCTCTGGAATTGAGAAAGAAGATTCCTAGGGACCAAAACTTTTTTTTGGCAATAAAATTTCCTCAACACCGTAGACAGTTTTGTAATTTAGTTTTGCTTCTAAGTCATAAACTATACTATATAATATTGCAGTTTAGAAAAAGTGATTTTACTGTTAGTGTCAACAAAAAGTACTTTTGGCTCATTCTTGGTTTCCAGAATCACAGCAGGAACTGCAGGTAGATGTGAAGATAAAGTTTGTGTCTGATGTTGGTTAATGTTCAAAGGTCCAGTGTTTTGTTCTGAGACTCTCTTTATTCTGGAAAATAGAGTAATGGTTATATGTCACTCACCTTTGAAGTGAAGATCCTGAGCTCTGTGAATGCAGCAGTAATAATGTGGTTGGTTTGTTTGGTTTTTTTGTTTTTTTGTAGCAATCAATGGGTACATGTATGGATACCTCCCAAATCTCACAATGTGTGTGGAAGATAAGGTAAAATGGCATCTTTTTGGTATGGGTAATGAAGCTGACATCCATTCAGCCTACTTTCATGGTCAGACCTTGATAGAAAGACACCATCGAGTTGACACCATTAACCTCTTCCCAGCCACGTTTATTGATGCTCTCATGATTCCGAGGAATCCCGGGGAATGGCTGCTGAGCTGCCAAGTGAATGACCATATAGAAGGTATGGAAAAAATCACAGACATCAGGATTTTTTTTTTTTCAGCTTGAGCTACCAATTCAATGAGTCTTTTTCACGCTGCTCCTGATGTGGTTATTTCCCAGACATTGTTCTCCTCAAGGTTAAAAACAAAACAAAAAACAACAACAACAAAAACCCAAACCAACCAAAAAAAACCCAACCAAACAATATAGCAAATGAAGTGCCTACAGGTGTATTAGATAGGCTTAGGAACGTACCCACAGAATCAAAAATTTTGTTATTGTTAATGGAAATTGTTATCAATTGACAGCATTTTTGGATATTGGACTTCAGATAAACAGTATCTTGATTTTTACCTCTTACTGACGGTAACTGATCACAACATTGTTTGCCAACAAAAAAGTTAGTGCTGGTTTGGGCAAGGACACAGGACAGACAGGTTAACTTGCCTGACAGTGACATGTTCTGGAAAGAACATTGGCTAATAATCAGAGATGATCTGCATTTGTCTTCCTTGTATCTTAGTGTATTTCCCATGCTCTTTTAACCGTGTGAAATATGTAGAAGCTAACGCACACTTTCATTTAGAGGGATATGGATAATGTAAGTTACAGAAGTCATCTGTCAGAAAGAACACAGAACTCAAAATCAGGCTCTAGGATCTGAAAATTCTGACATGGGGAGGAACATGTTTGTCCTACAAATTCAGCTGCACAGAAGTTTTTAGATAACTAGAGCATCCTGCAGTATCTTGATGTGGATGAATCTTCATGGGCAACATGAAAATCCTACGAACTGGCCCAATTTAGCTGTAAAAGGGCACTTTTTTTTAACTGTTCATACCTTCAGCAAGGAGATTCACTATTGGATCGGTCTCCTAGGGTACGAAGACCGAAGAGTTTCACAAGTGAGCCACTGATTAGATTTAGAGGAAAACCTGGTCTGTCTTTTAGTACCTGGTTTAGCAGGAATTCTCCAGATAAGACAAAGAGCTATTAGAATCATAGGGGGAAAAAAATAAATTGCAGTTTCTTCAATTTTCTTACATCTTTTTTTCCAGGTGGTATGCAGGCCCTTTTTAAAGTAGAAAGTTGCAGAAAATCCACAATAAATCACAATGAGACTACAAAGATAAGACAATACTTCATTGCTGCTGAAGAGATTATCTGGAATTATGGCCCATCTGCCTTTAATCATTTTACAGGACAAGAATTAATTGCTGACAGGTAAATGCCTTCAAGTTGTTTCACTTTCAAGGAGATTTGATATGAGCATGCTGAATAGGGGGTAAGCCTTATGGTAGAATTTGCTTTTAAGTAGAATTTCATTGTCCCCAGCTCTGCTTAAATATTAATGCTAAGATAAATATCAAAACACATCAGTTCAGTTCATTCTCCTGTGATCTTAAGATAAATTTTGCTGAAGTGTTAGCAGCGTCACTGGGCTGAAGAGGAATTGCAGTGTCGTGACTTGAATTTTTTTGCATCTATTTCAATGTCCTGCACACAGTGAATCTTCTGTATTTTTTGAACGAAGTGAGACAAGAATTGGTGGCTCTTACAAAAAAGCCATTTACAGGGAATACACAGATGGTACTTTCACGGCACATAAAAAAAGGCTCCTGGAGGAAGAACATCTTGGTCTCTTAGGTAAGATATTTAGAAAGATTTTATAATAAAGATTTATCAGAGGAAAGTATGACTTCTACTGCCTGGCCAATAGTGCCCTTTCACCTTCTCGCTCCTTGGTGCTCCCTTCCTCCTTCAGACCCCGATGCCTGCAGCTTGCTCCAAAAGCCACCTCGGGATGTATGCAAAGTTCTTAAAGGGAACGCTGTGATCATCCCCAACTTGCCTGAGGGAGTATGCCACAGTCTTCAAAGGGCAAGCTGAATTACAAAGCCAGACTAGGCAATTCTACGCCTGTTGATAAGCTGGCTGCTTCTGACAGGGTTTGGGAGTAAGTTTGAGATTGGTACTAATGTCTGCAGGTCCCTTTCCAAAGGGAGGAACTGTCCTGTTTACACAGGGCCTTCGTGGGAGGTGAACAGTCCAGTCGCAGCCGGGATGCCATGGACTTGGGCCATGCAGCAGGGACCTTGTCTGCGGCCAGACAAGCTCAGGGGCAGCTAACCTACAACAGGAAAAGCAGGCAGCGTTACGAGCTCGTGGTGATTGCTGCATCATTTGACCCAAAATCAGATTTTGTGACCTTTTCCAGGACCTGTTATCAAGGCGGAAGTGGGCGAGAGCATCAGGGTGACATTCCGAAATAATGCCAGCCGCCCGTTCAGCATCCAGCCCCATGGTGTGAGTTACCACAAGAGCAAGGAGGGAGCGCTGTACGGAACTGCCTCCAGAGGTGCGCCTGTGAGAGAGGCCTTGCAAGCAGCAGAGAACAAGCTGTTGCATACAGTAATGTGATAAAGGTAAAAAAAAATAAACAGGTTTCATTAGGCTTAATTCCTAATTTTGGTTTCTGTAACAGATGCTGAATCTCCAGCCTCCCATGTCAGTCCTGGTGCTACGTTTACGTACGAGTGGAATGTGCCAGAAGATGTGGGCCCCACAGACCAAGATCCAGACTGCTTAACTTGGTTTTATTACTCAGCTGTGGATTCAGTCAGAGACACCAGTTCGGGCCTTGTGGGTCCTCTTGTGGTGTGCAGGAAAGGAGCTCTACTCCCTTCTGCAAAACAGGTCAGTCAAAGAGGAAAAACATGGAAGCATTTGCCTCACTGTAACTGAATCTGCTTTCTTTTCCTGAACTGGGCTCTGCACATCACCATCCAGCCCATGCACTGAGAGGGGTATAAAAAATGGGGAAAAAAAGTTGTTGTTTTTTTTTTTTTTTTTTAAAAAAAAAAAAGCAAAATCAGCCTGGTTCCACATAGGCAGACACTGCGTTATGAAATCAATGTCACAATCATTAGCCTTCAAGTTTTACGTAGGATGAGAACTAGAAAATTGTGGAAACTTTAAAGATCAGTTTGTGGATCTGTTTCTGGAGGTGGCTCCTGCTGGTGGAAGGGCCATCGGCAGCAGATACCTGCGCACCTCAGACAGCAGGTAGACAGCTCTAGGGTCATCTGAATGAAGTTTCAATGCGTGCATCTACACTAGTTTGAGAATTATACTCAAATTAATATACGCATTCTATGATTTTTACTGTGGATTTTTTTCCTGGCATGATCTCTTCACCAAATTTTATTTTTCTTTGTGCTATTTTTTTCTCAACAGAGAAGTGTGACCAGGGAGTTTTTCCTACTTGCCACAGTATTTGATGAGAATCTGAGCTGGTACTTGGATGACAATATTTTGATGTTTACATTAAATCCTAATGAAATTGACAAAGATAACGAGGACTTCCAAGAATCTAACAAAATGCACTGTAAGAAAATTGGTTTTTATATTTTGCTAGTCAAATGCTTGCTTTCTGCTGTTTTTTTTATTTTTGTGAGCTCACAGTGGAGACTGGGAAACTGTGTAACAGAGATGCTAATTTCCTTTCAATTGGAACAGACCGTATTTGAAAGCAATTCAATTTCAAGTCAGTGTGGTTGTCAGTTCAAATGTACGGACGGCAGTGCAGTGTCAGCAGTGGGCTATTTGGCACTGTTACGTACCTCTTTCAAAAGACACAAAGGAACAGGGTCTGCAGCCCACGTGTGACCATTATGAATGCAGCCAGGTAACGAGAGGAACTGACCTCTACCCTACAGAAGATGTTGCTGAAAAGAGTACTTTTTTGTCCATAGCTGGATTTCTTTACCAGCACTGTGGATGCCGTACAGTGAAAGTGGCATTTCTCCTATTTACAGAGCTTACAGATAGTAAGCATTCGAGTGGCATCTGGCAAAGGCTCAGCCTTTGGAAGGTCTACGTAGGAGTAAGAATTATTAACTTAAACTAGCAACGTTTGGGATCATCTCTGCTGTGTGAATATAGAGCCATTGCCGTATAAGGCAGTGAAGACTGCAGGTGGTCAGGTCCCTGTGCTTTAGACACCAAAAGTGAGAACAGTTTGAAATTGTTTTTAAGTACCAGGTTTAAAAAGTTGTTTTTGCTTGAACTGATCCTCTAGTTTTGCTGGTGTGATAAAGTATTTTAGTATCAATATCCTTGTCACTGTAAGACACCACATTAGATTTAAAGTGATACTTATTTTTAAATATTATATTTAAATGTAATTTAATTTGTATTGCAGAATTAAGTTGTGTTAATCAACATTGGGTTTACTTCTTCAAATCTTCTACAGCCATTAATGGTTACATGTATGGAAACCAACCTGGTCTCGAGATGTGTAAAGGTGATGTGATTTCCTGGCATTTGATGGGCTTGGGGTCAGAAGTCGATGTTCATGGGATATACTTTTCACAAAACACATTCATAACAAAAGGAACAAGAAAGGATACAACAAATCTATTTCCACACACATTTGTTACGGCCATTATGAAGCCTGATTCTGAAGGTAAGTGTCCCGTTTGGTGGTGGTGGTTTGGTTACTTTTTTGTTTGTTTTCAGCCTATATCCCAGACAGAGCGGTATTACACAGCTATAGAAATTCACTGTAGCGCTTCCTCTGACTGGCATAAAAACTGCTATTGGCCTTTGCCTGGAAAAGGCTCTCTTGCCACAACTGAAGCCCTTTGATGTTCTTGTGTAGCTCTGCCACTAAACAGGCAGGATCCTGCTTTCCTTCTGAACCTCACCAGATTTTTGGGAGTAGTCACTCTACTAGTTCCAGTGTGCTGTGTTGTCTTCATGTGCCAAACACTGTAGAATTGTACCCTTAAAACAATTAAGAGCAGGCTTTTATTTCATCTTTTTTTGTGTGACAGTGGCTAAAAACCACAGGTTTGACCATGAGTACATTGAAGTAATTTCTGAAAGAAATGGTGTGGAGATATTTTTAATTTTGAAGAAAATAACTGAAAGGAGTAAAAAATGTAGTCTTTTCTTTCTTCCTTTCTGGTTCAGGACTGATATACGAGATATCTGAAGGCTTGAAATATACTGTTTCTTGTTTAGAAACTGCTTACCTGTGTGCATGTTATGCTTAGGTAGCAACTGTACATAGCAGATTTTTTGATCCGTGGGGATGCTAAAACTGTGTACAGCTTGTGTGTGAAGAGTAGCAAACAGCATGCAAGCTCTTCATGCTAAAGCTTTGATTACCTTAGCTTCTACACCTGTGAGATAATACAGTTTTAAGAGCAACAAAAAGATTTTTTGTCGTGAAGTGTTAACTTCCAGTACAACCTCTAGGAATTTTTGAAGTATCGTGCCTGACAACGGATCACTACAGAGGGGGCATGAAGCAGAAATACAAAGTGAAACCATGTCATTGGTGGAATGTGGATCCATCCCTATATGTGCACGAGAAGACACATTATGTTGCTGCCGTGGAAGTGGAATGGGACTATTCCCCTAACAGGACATGGGAGTTTGAGCGGCATCAATATCACAAGGAAAGGTTTGTTAAAACTCTGTACAAGGGAGGGAAAGAATGCGCAGAATGCAAAGGAACAAGTTCTCCTCTATACCATTTCCTCTTTGCAATCCTGGCATTTTCTTTTCAAGTGAGCCGTAAGCATACAAATGCATTTATGGTCCTTCTCCAGTTATGTCGCCATGTGTCCTATTTTTAGTTGCAATAGAGTGAATTTTCTTCATGGTGTCCGATACGATGTGTTTTGGATTTGTGACAAAAATCACTGATATTTTAGTTGTTGCTGAGCAATGCTGTTTGCACACAAGGATAGCTCAGGTTTTCAGCCTCTCATGTCCTGCCAGAGACGTGAGGAACTGGGAGGGGACCTGTCAAATTTGATCAGAGATATCCCGTACCCAATGGCATCGTGTGAAAAAAACGTAAAACTGAGGGGAGCTGGGCAGGGTGGGGGCAGTCGCTGCTCAAGAACTGCCTGGGCATTGCTGATGGAATGGTCCAGCTGCAGATTCAATTGGATCCTGGGTACTGCACGTGCATTTATTATTTGCTGCTTTTGGTATTGTCCTTGATGTGGAATGCATAAGATATCCAACAAGTTGTAGATAGGACTATTTTGTCCTGATATTTGATTACTTACAAAATTTAACATTTGTGTGTGAGTAAGGTTCCTTTTTACTCCTCTCATGTATTTAGTTTACACAAGACATTAAGTCGGTGATTGAATCCATTCATTGTGAAGCTCATCACCTTGTTTTGTTCCCAGTATTTGAATCTGAGTGAACTGATGGTATCAAATAATTCAAGCCAGTTATCAGAAGAGAATAAATAATGAACTGCTGAATTTCTGTGTGCCTCTTCAGCCTATAAGCTTAATTTGAGAAGTAGATAGTAACTGCCTGCAGTTACTGCTATTGTTTTATTTTAATGCTTTATGTACTTTCTTTTCAGCCTGACAGCACATACCCTTGCCCTGTACGCCATGGCAAGTTCCCTCAAAGCTCTAAGCACAAGTAATATGGACTGTGCTGTTAAGAAGCTTGTTTTGGAGTTAGGTTTGTTTTTTTTTTACCTGTCTCCAGCCCCAATGGTATCAGCAGGGAAGCAGTGCCTCGTTTTTCAACTCAGCGAGTCATGTAAACTTTATGAGATTTAAGCTACATTCCAAAACTATAGAAGTTACTAAGGGCTTTTATTTTTTGGTATGCAAATTGTTAGATGACTTCTTGCCATTTGAATTCTCTCTCAGCTAAACCACTCAGCATTCTCTTAAATTCTATAGTCTGTCTGTTCATAGTGCTTTGGGCTTTTTTTCCTCTTATGCCTTATGGGACTTGCCAGCTTAACAAGAATGTTTTCATGAAGATACACATGAGGTTACCATTCCACTGAGTTAGAATTTTCTTTGATGGCTAGTTTAATACCTGCAAAAGGTGGCGTAAAATATATAAAGAAATGTCAGCTATATTCTCATATTCTATTTACTTCTATTAACTGGGGTTTGTTTGTTTTTCAGCCCTGGCAATCCATTTTTAAATAAAGACGACGCATTCATTGGCTCGAAATACAAAAAGGTGGTATATCGTGAGTACACAGATCAGACATTCAGTACTCCAAAAAGCAGAGCAGAGGAAGAGCAGCACCTTCAAATTCAAGGTAATTCAATTTGAACAATACTGAGTATAGTTCTAGCCACACAGAGCACCCAAACCTATGGGGAATTGCATCTTACAGTGCTTTCGTTACCAGATTTCATTGCTTTCTTCACGGGGGGGGTGGGGGGGGGGGAGGAATCAATGAGCAGCCTATGGGTTCGCTGCCTGATTACAGTATTTGCAAAGGTGCTGAAATTTACATCCTTGTTTAGTTGCTTGACTTGAACTGCTCAAGTTGGCTTATCATTGTGAATGCATGTTATCCATGTCTAGTTTTTTGCTGAAATATGACTTATATCCTAATGTTGTTGTGTGTTTCAGCCCAGTAAGCTCTGTCTCTCTGCTCTGATTATTTACAAAATCACCTTAATCTATCTTTTCAATTGAACAGGGCCACTGATTATGTCAAGTGTTGGAGATAAAATTAACATAGTTTTTAAGAACCTGGCATCAAGACCTTATTCTATACATGCCCATGGAGTGAAAACAGACAGTTCTGTTGTTGCTATAACCAACCCAGGTATCAAAGCATCCTTATGTTATTTCTACATCAAGCCTTCTAGTAAGGTTTAGCAAAGCTTTGCTTTTAGGGCAGCAGAAAAGACTTGACATTTGTTAGTTTGTTGTTTTTAACCTCAGGTTCTTACAATTTTGATGCTGATTATGGCTGAGTTATTTGTACAATTAAAATGCCCCTCGTAGCTACTGCTATATGTCGAGTCCTTGACATATCAGTAATTTCTTTGACACAACTTGGCCATGTCTTTTGTGAAAGAAAGTAGATTTAGTGACAGAAGGAAAGCATAGCTTATACTAGCTATTATTTTAAAACTTATTCTGTGTATTTCTATTAAATATGGTAAAACCTGTCATTGCTAATGGTATCCTAGGCTCCATCACATGAGCCGGGGGGCAGTAGAGGAGCTCCATCAGTAGGCCAGCAGGGTCAGGGAGATGATTGTCCCTCTTTACCCTCGTGAGACCCCATCTGGCCTACTGTGTTCAGGTCTGGGGCCCCCAACACAGGAAAGATGTGGAGTTGCTGGAGAGGATCCAGGGAAGAGCCACAGAAATGCTCAGAGAGCTGGAGCAATTCCTCTGTGAAGACTGACTGAGGCAGCTAGGCTTATTCAGCCAGGAGAAGAGGAGGCTGCAGGGTGACCTCACTGCAGTCTTCCAGTACTTAAAAGAGGATTATAAAAAGCAGGGGAATCAACTTATTACTTGGGTAGAGAATGATAGGACAAGGGTGAATGGTTTTAAGCTCAAGGAGGGAAGTTTTAGATTGGATGTCAGAGGGCAGTTCTTCACAAAGTGGTGAGGTGCTGGAACAGCTGCCCAGAGAGGCTGTGGATGCCCCATCCCTGGAGGTTTTGAAGACTAGGTTGGAGAGAGCCCTGGGCAACCTGGGTTAGTACCAGATCTGGAGGTTGGTGGCCATGCCTGTAGCACAGGGGTGGAACATGATCCTTGGGGCTCCCTCCAACCCAAGCCATTCTGTGATTCTAAATAGGGCAACCCATAGAACATTGGCAAGAAGTATCGGGATTATGCAGAAGGGAAATAACAACTTGGGAAGAAGAAGATCAAGACCAATATAAGCTGTAAATGGAGATAACACTTTGTTTCAGGACTTCTTTCTGTGTGCTCATCTGCAAGCTTCTAGCTTTCATCAATGTTTGTTTAATTTAGGTGAAACTAAAATGTACACCTGGAAAATATCAGCAAGATCTAGTTCTGAGAGAGGTGATCCACACTGTACTGCATGGGCATACCATTCAACAGTGGACATCATTAAGGTATACTGCCAGCATCAGTCTGAAGAGTTTTGTTCATGACTTCAGCACAGATAAACTTACAGCAAAAAGGAAAGAGGTTTGAAACTCCTGCTTTATCAGTCAGGTCATTCCCCCACTACCTTTGAATTTAAAGATCTCTTAAATAATGCAGTGAAGTCAGAGCAGAATTTGAAAGTCACACACTCTGGTGTTCTTGTTCCCTGGTTCTCCTGCCATTTATATACACTTCTAGCATTAGTCACCACTAATAATTATTTTTTATTTGTAATTTCAGGACACTTACAGTGGATTAATAGGCACACTTGTTGTGTGTCCTAAACATTATTTACCATCGTCTCATTCTAGAAAGAAAGTTCATTTTGCTCTTCTGTTTATGATTTTTGATGAAAATGAGTCATGGTATTTGGATGAAAACATTGCAACCTATTCTGCCAACCCACACCTTGTTAACAAAGAAAATGAGGAATTCCTTGAAAGTAACAAAATGCATGGTATGTTTCCTAACTTAGTTGGTGTAACGTTAGAGACGTTATAAAATCATGTATCTGAAATTACTGTATATAAATTGGACTCTTTCCTCCTCCCTGATTTTCCAGTTATAGGGTAGAAAGCCAGAAAAATTTCACTCACTGCTTTACACTGTTTTACTGCTCCTGCCACTGAATTACATATTTTAACATATGAAAATCAATAGTTCCATGTTGACATTTTTGAGGATGAAAAGATTAAAATGTAAATTGGAAATGTTGACGTTAGCAGGTAACTAATCTGAATAGGTTGGTAATGTAATGTGTATCCTGAAAGCATGTCCTCATAAAGCTTATCCTTTACAATGCACCACAGGAAATGCAGACTTTTAGAAACTTCAGTAGTGGTGCACGGTAGCACGCTTCCATTTTAACTGCTTCTTGCTTTCCAGTTAACTCTGGAAGACATAATCAGACTCATTTCATAATATGCTGTCCTTTCTTTTTGATAACGATGCATTAATATCTTTTAAAATTATTTTTTATACCACTCAAAGCGGTTCCTTTTTGCCTAACTGTAGCTTTTAATTCTCTTTTAAAGCCTTGACAGCAAAAAGAAACAAAATCTTGTTTTCTCTTTCCCTCCTTTTAGCCATTAATGGAAAAGTGTTTGGAAATTTACATGGTCTGACTATGCATGTTGGAGATGAAGTAAGCTGGTATTTGATGGCAATGGGCAACGAAATAGATATTCACACAGCACATTTCCATGGCCACAGCTTTGACTATAAGGTAACAGTTCCTTTCCGTTCACTTTTGCTAAGAATGTGAGGTAAAGCAAATAAAGAAAAAAGAAAGAAAAAAATGGCATACAGTCATTTCAGACAGGGTATGATTAAAAGACTTGGTGTGAGCATGACTGAAAAACAGTTCATGGGACTGCTGTCTGGTTCTGCCACGCTGTTCAATGATGGTTTCTTCTCATCCTGAAGCAAACAGGAGTTTACCGGGCAGATGTCTTCGATTTGTTCCCAGGAACATTTCAAACAGTGGAAATGACCCCACAGAACCCTGGAACGTGGTTACTGCACTGTCACGTTACTGACCACATCCATGCAGGCATGGAAGCAACTTATACAGTGCTCCCAAAGGAAGGTAAGAGCTTACCTACCCCAGTAATGTTCATTATTCTTAAAGATGCAGTACAGAGCTCAAGGACATGTTCTGATCTGATCACGCTCACTGAAGTGCTACTGCTCAGAATAAAGAAAGAATCTGAAGGAGTGGATGTTAACTATTTCTTCAGCTCCTCATCAATGAAATGGCAGCTTTTTATTTAAGAAAGAACGCATCAGGAGACACAGTGCTTCTGTGCCCCAGAAGTGCTAATGAAATCAGCCTCCCTCTCACATTTCATTTAAAACAAAAAGAACCAATTGGTGAAAAAAGCTGAAGTTGCCATTCTAAGTACTGAAAATTAAAGTAACAGTTTCTTTTTAAAAGGTGTGTTTTAGCCTTACAAACACTACTTAACTATTACTATTACTTTAGCAATCTTGCCTGCGAAAAGAACCTGAATCCTGAAGAATTTTGAAATTTCTTTCTTCTACAAAGCTAATACAACTTTAAAGGCAACTTTCATGTACTAAAAATAATAGGCATGTATTATCTTAATTGACAGAGTAGTATTCCAGAATGTATGTCCATGTCTGTATATACACACAACTGTATGATGTACATAAGTACACTAACAAATGCAGATTAGATTGTTAAACACTATCTTGTTATAGAGCTGATTTACATGATACACCGTGACAAATTTCTGCATATAATAAACCAATGGAGCATGTGTAGAAAAAAAAGACTTGTACCTGAAAATGCAGCACGTAGCATTTTTCATAATCAGCTCTTATAATTTATGTATTTTATACCCTTCAGTGTATTTTAATTGTTTTTAAATCAAATTCATAATGTGTAAAAGGTACAGAGATCATTGCCCTCATCTTAAACTATGCTGCCTATAGGCCTACATTCTTCTTTTGACAGGATTGGAAAAAAAAAATGTTTTTCCCTTTACAGACAAATGGTCTTTGTTCCCAAGATTATTTAATCGATCCAAGTGCAAAGGTACACCAGGTGTGCGAGAGTGAAGAAAACCATTTACTGCAGTGATTCTCCAAGATCTACTTTCAGCAAAGAATTGCTTGAGAAATACTCCTTTCCATGTGTTTAAGAAGATTGCAGGTGCTGGGCTACAGCTACAGAGACCACAGACTGAGGCAACTGGATGAGTATAATAGCTTGTAGTTTTCCTTAAATAAAAATCACAACTTGCAAGGTAGCCATGTGTTAGGCGATGCCTAATGCATGTTATTTAACTGCTGGGAAAGCCAAATGAAACATACTTTGTGAGGACTTTTGTTCTCAGTTTTTAAGTAATTCAGTGTTTGAAAAAATAAATAAGTTGTTTTAGACTAACATCTTAGTAACCACAACCACTGCATGGACAATTGGAATTTGGTTATCATGTTAACTATCAGTTATTGAATTATAGTTTTATCCAGTGATGTTGTTCAAGAAAGTGAACTTAAAAGATGTAATGGGTAGCTCATTAAATAATTATTTTCACAACAGAAAAACACGTCTTGAGACAAAAGTTAGGTGAGCACAAGCCTGACCCTGTGAAGGTAAGATACAGTGAGTGTACCTAAGAGCTCTGCCCCTATGTATTCTAAATACCACTGCAGGGGTCTCACTTTGCTGCAGCAGCAGCCAGCTCTTGCTTTAGCCTTATTTCATCCCTCACCTCAGACAACTGCAGTAATGGATCAGACAGTCAGGTAAAGCAAAACAGTCAGGCTTTACTGCCACAGAATAAACGAAGTTTGTTCTCTGTATCTTTAGCTTTTTTTTTTTTTTTCTTTTGAAAAGTAGAAAGCATCTACCACAACCAGAGGGCTTCCTACTAGTAAATTAAGTAAATACTTTTGGCTGTAGCAAACATACTACAAGGAAATTAAACTACTTTTTTGTTTCATCAATGATTTATTTCAGATGTAGGGGATCTCTTCTACCTGACCTTTACTTTAACCCTTGGTATTAATGCTTCAGTGAAATTTGGTTTCACAGAGTCAATGTCCTCTAATAAGGCCTTCAGCTGTTTATGGGGATTATAAAGTTCCAAAGAACACTATACCTAAGAAGGTCAAAGTTTATTATGACTAAATTCCTGCTGGAACAACGTAGGATGTATTCTGTCCAAAAGAAAGACAAGTATCAGTAGATACACACATAGACACAAGGGACTCACTAGCAGACCTGGAAGGAAGAGTTTTCATCCAGATTTGTGACCTAGTGATACTTGAAGTATCTACTTGAAGATACTTCAAGTGATACTTGAAAGTGTTTTACAATAGATCACTTACTCAAACAAGTGTCAGAGGGTAGAACTGTTAACCAGTTTTTCCAGCTGGAATTCAAAGGAATTCAAACTTAAGTAGTCCAGTTCTACTTTGAAGTGTTAGGCACTTACTTATACAATTAAAGATGCAGCTAAGCTCCAGTTCCTCCCTAGGCCAGTGACCTAACTAGTTAGCACGCAATTAAGACCCACTTGACTTTCAGCAAACAGAGTTTGCCAGGTTGCATTGTACAGTTCCTTTTGTGTTTATTTTTTTTTAAGATGTTTTGGCCTTTAAGAGTCACCTCTGAATAGCTTATTTTTAAATTGGCCAACATTTACTCAGTTCAGGAACTTTTCTAGTTTGCCAACCTTTACAAAGTATAATACTATTAGCTTCAAAAGCAATGCTCTCCCACAAATAACAGCTGTCATTCAATTATTGCCTTAAGGTTTTAACTCAAAAAGAAGGTGATTTTTGTGTAGGCGGATGCACAGAGCTGTTTCTTACATACTACTCCTTCACGTTCTTTTTTTATTCCAGCACATTCCTGGTATGTAAACGCATAGGCTTACTTTCATTGTGTCTACATCAGTTGTTTCCTTTGGCTACAGTGAAGAAGATGTGGCAGGAAAAATGCTGCAGTTCCATCTTCTGGTAGAAGACTAAGGAAATCCCATAGTTCCAGTTCCATTGCAACTACCGATAGGATTTCTGCCAAAAGCAGAGGAGAAAATCTTATTTAGTGTACTGCGCTTAGTTCCAGGAACAAAAAGAACATGAACAATGTCACTATTAACTCATCATCAAGTGATCTAAATATTTTAACTGAAATAAAATCTGAGACATGTCTATTTGGGAACTTACTGTTATGGGAAATCTCAGCCGTAAACTGAAATTACATCCTAGATTAAAACCACACCAAATCATCACACTTACATATGACACTAATGCTTACAGAATAGTAATCTAGTACTTCACATGCTTCATTGCCAGGACTCTTCTCCATTTGCTATCTTCTCAATTAGTATCCTAATTCCAAATTATTTGTGAAATCAGATGTTCTTCAAGCAGCTTCTGAGATGAAGCTGTTAAATAAGATCTTAAAAGCTTGTAGCACAGTTGTCACATGAAAACAAAATAATCTGCACAGTCCAGCCAGGGAATCTGTTCTCCTCTCATGAAGCACACACTTCTGTTTTATTTAACACACATATTTTTCTTAATCTACCTTCTTATTCTGCCAAAATTCAATGCACTTGCCCCTCAATGGTGCGGTGTTATTGACTTCTTACAAATATGCAACTGGACTCCATCAGTCACTACAGTTAGTTTCATCACTTCTTTATTTCTGCTAACCAAAAAGCAGTAATCCTACCACCACCCTGCCAAATGAACTCAGATGTTTCATTCTGCTTAATATGACCAACCGTCAGAAACACACTGTATTTTTTACAGTCTGTAACCTAACCATGAATACATACTTAACTGCCCACTGTGTTATCAACAGTAGCCTGTTAGCTGTCATTGCTTAGAACCATAAAGTCACTTATCCTAGAAAGAAAGTACAACAATCCGTATCCCTTACTTTAATGATCAACTTCCTTAAATTGCATCTATTCTTGATCAGTATAGAAGTAACGATTCCCAAAATGAATTGTTTTCAGTATAAACTGAATGACATCATTTTTTTGAGGATGTTGCAGAATGCTATTCTGATTATGAGACAGCCTGCTAAGCTCTATAAGCTTCAACAATGGAAAACTAGCTCCCTTTTTTCCAAACATCACATCAGTATTCCTTAGAACAATACTTAGAATGTTGGATGCTATACAAAGGCAGGCTCAAAGGAGCTCTGATCAATTGATTTACCTTTTAGTGATGAAATAAGAACAGGACAGTCACTTCTGATAAGTCTGGTTCTCTCACAAAGTTCTGGGAGCAGCTTGTTCCACAATACAGCCTAGTTCATAAAAACCCATAGCAAAACCGTAAATTAACAACAACTGCAGTTAAGAGTGCAAAAGAAAGTGCTAAAAATACACCAAGAATCAGGTGAGTGCAGATACAGGTAGGCTGACTTATACGATGCTTTGAAACGCAGTAGTTTTGCGCACATACATCCAGTTTTCAATATTGTCTTCTCATATTCAACAAATATCTCAACAGTGCCCCCCAGAGGTGCCTCCACAGAGAAAAGGATTTGCAAGGGGTATTTTTTTGTTCTTGTTCCAACCAGCTCTATGCAAAGCAACGAGTGATAGATATCTTTTATAAACACAATAACTTTTTTATTCCGCTATATTCTGATTTAGTTGTGCCTCCAACTCTGTTTTCATACTTGTTACAACCACAGAAACCATCTTCAGATTTAAAAATAAAGCACAAATTTGGTCTTGAGAACAGTAATGGTAGGGCTGGGCTATCTGATCCATCTGCAATAAACATTTTAACTAGGGAAAATAAACAAGCGAAAATCCAGAAGACTTTAACCCAAATAGCTCACCCGACTGTCATCTTTCAGCTCATGCTGAGCATATAACACAGCAGCAGCAGGACACTGTCTGAGGAGCTGGTCAATGGACTCCTCGTGCTTGCCCAGACGGGTACTGCAGAGAACACGAACGGTGAGGCCAACATTGCCAGCCTCTGCCAGAGGCTCCAGGATAGGCAGAGCTGCAGTTATATCTATTGACTGACCACATAAAATGGACTAAACAACAACAACAACAAAAAAGATTGTTTGGATTTAACACGAGTTTTGCAAAACACTGCTAACCATAAACTTAGAGCAACCTTACTTACAATACTTATTTATTCTAATAGACATTATTAAGAACTGAGAAAGCTGAGTACACAGTTAATAGCAAAGGTAAGTATCACTGTTGTTGATGTGTCACATCAATGTTTTTTTCTTTCATGATTTAAGGGGTCTTTTAGTTCAACTTGGATAAATTGAGGGGGGCAGGCTGCTAGAAAAAGTTGTTAACACATGCATGAACATCTGCAGAACAGATCTGAGCTGTGAATAGCAAGGTTTAGGGATTTCATACCTGTAGCTTTGAAATATCTTCAGGACAATCTTTATCAAGTGGAGATTCCATTGACATTATGAAAGTAACCCATGGGAAAATGGATCCAAAATGATCACAGGAGTTTATCTACAAAAGCAATATAGAAGTTGTAATAAAAAGAAGTATTTTTATTAGTGACAGTTCCACATCAAACGTCCCACTCCCCACAAGCACAGAAAATTTTGTTCTCAAATAGCACCTATTATTTCCTCTAATTCATAGAATTAAAAAATAAATCAGCTTGAAACTTCTATTTATTTCTGTATTTCAGATTTTTCATTCAAAGTATCTTACAATTCATCACCCTGGTATTTCCTCATTTTATCGGTTTTGCAAAATCTTTGTTACAGAAAAAAAAAAAAAAAAACACCTGGAAAATTCTGTTTCATTCTAGCCTTGATCTGAAATATCCAGAACCGTGACACTTCTGTTGAGTGTATTTTAAAATATCCTTAAAGAACAAGACTCTCCAAAACCAGCAAAACCTGTCTGGTAAGCAGACACTACATTATTTACTCTCAGGCATGTTTCTTTTAGGAGGCTGCAACGCTATAATGTGATGGAAAGCACAGTCATATCAGCAGGATGGCAAAGCCTTTGGCAGCAGCAAATGAAGACAAGCCCAAATACAGCAGCTGTGGGCACAGAAACAGAGCAAAAAGCTTCTTACCTTCTGGAAGACCTCTGCAAGATTCCCTCACCTCCACTACCAACCCTTAAATGAGGTCTGGAAAGGGATGGATCCTGGCTCCACCCCTTCCATCAACCAGGTACACTGCATTCACCTGAGCTCCCCTGGGCTGGCCCTGTCTCCCACCAGGTGCTTCATCACTGGTTCAGGCCATGACTCAGCATTTCTACTCCAAATTGTCCACCATCCAAATACTAAGTAATTGGACAGCTTTAGATGGACAGTACAGTCATAAAACTTCTGAGTTACCAGATCCTCTGTTGTTTTCAGTGGTTTAGTCTCAGGGAGTTGCTTCTTTGATATCCTCCAAACATACTGATAAGTAACCCTCAATAAGAGCTCCTGAAGTACTTCTTCCTGAGAGCATGCTACAAGAAGAGCTTCCCAGAAATCTACCAAAAGTTGAGGAACCATGTCTTCACCATTATTACATAACATCTAGGAACAAAAACATTAGAAAATGACAAGTTAGTGCAGAACGTAGCAACTGTTAGTAGCAGAAATCAGAAGAAACAAAAGGAACAGATTTTCACTTAATAGAGGCAGGATTTTTAGCACCTTTTTGACTTGGTATTTCTCAAGGGTGCGATGCTACATAATACAATGCTAGAAAAAGATAGAAGTTCATGGAATTATTTTAACATAGATTTGATTTCTTCCGTTGTCAGAACGGTCAGCAGACAGTCAGCAAATATTTATTGACTGCTAATTTGGAGGCTTTTATATATGTCAATAGCCTAGCCTAGTCTCTTCTGAAGAGGAATCTTAATGCAAGCAAAGGCCATGATAAGGAAATGCTGTGCATCTCAGCTGAGTGCAACAGTAGGACCACAAGGGAGATGCTCCTGGGCTTAAGGCCTGGTTGCTTGGTGAAAAGGACTTTTACTTGGTTTACAGCTGGCTTTGAAAAAGAGTATTTGTTCTAATGTGAGCTTTACGACTTAGTCTTTTTGTCATGTCTTTCACAGTAACAGACATTAGTCCACAGCATACTTATATTTAAGCGTACATGGTTTTAATCCAAACAACATTACACTGTAGAATAAAGGAAAAAATATTTTGTCTACTCACAAACACAGCGAACTTCAGTGACCAGAAAAGGTCAGAAAAGCTCTGAGATTAAATTATGCATTCAAGTGACAGGATTAAAACAAAGAACTTAACAACTAATTGATTTTTTTTCTTTTCTCCATTCTTCTTTCCAAAAAGACTGACTTCTGATTTCATAGCCATCTCTCTGCAATGCAGTGTAGCAATCCTCATCTGCCTCTTTCAAAAGAAGTGCTAAAATGTGAGTGAAGGAGCAACCAAGCCCATTTTGCTCACCCATAAAATCAGTTATGTGAAGAAAAGAAGGAAAAAATTATCATATGCCAACCTTGAAAAACATATCTGCTTCTTCCAGTTCGATTTTACTGTTCTCATGTAAAGCCACAGTGGCAGCCACCAGTAATCCAGGTTGCATCACCTTCAGGTGAACAGCAAATTCAGTTGGAATAACAATTCCTTCGTTACACTCTCTCAGGAGTTTTGGTTGCCCAATGAAGCCACAGGCCAGCATTGTCTATAAACAATCAGATATAACTTAGACAAATAACTCAATCCATGCACAGTTCAACTCAGTGAAGTCAGTATTTCTCAGCCGTCAAGCTTATACAGGCAAATGAAATGAAGTCAAGAGAAATAAGTATTTTCTACAATTTAAAAAATAGTTCTCCAAAGATCCAGGTCCAAACTGCGTGTTGGGTCAGTGACTTCAGAACACCATGCCATTTATCTGAGCAGTGAAAGAAACATTCTGATGAAACCTGCAGTTACTGTACACGTGACAGATTTTACTATGTGTTTACTAGCCAGTAAACAAATAAGGTGTAGTGAAAATTCACTGACTAGAATGTCAGTGAAATACCTTTCTAAACACCTTTGAAACAATGATCAAAACAAGCTGCACAATATCCAACTCAAAGTGCTTTTGAAGGTAACGTGACAACATACTATTTCCACTTCAACAACAGTGGAGAAATGATGTCTGTACAAACTAAACAATTTACGTAAGAAATATAAAGAAGACCTATGAAGAAAATTCAGACTTCTAGACCTCTACTTGTAGAAATTATCTTTCCTTCATCTTTCTGGAAGCACTGTTTTTAATACTGAACAATGAAATGATTTTTAAAGTTGAGTTGTTTTTGTAGTAGGTCAAATTAAAACCAAAACTCCACAACTAAAACACCAAACACTTGATTCTCATTTAAATAGCATCCATGCAATGGAAGAGAGGGTGAGCTGGACCGTTTGAGCCAGATGATATCCAGAGGTCCTTTCCAAACTCAACCATTCTGTGAACGTGTATTTTTTCAGCTTCTCTGTAACATGGCAATTTCACCTCACCTTGCTGCAAATGGTTGGAAAGCAGGTGAGAGATCCTACACAACACTGTTGAAACAGCATTCCACAGTTCCCACCTGGTATTTCAAAAGCTGCTAACTCAAAGCTACCCAAAGCTTTTACTTCTGAAGCTTGACACCTAATTCTGGGATATCAGCTCTCTCTCAGAAAAAGCCCACGCCACAAGCTCTGTAACCTTTGACTATTCAACACTCCCGATCAGCCTTAAGAAGCAGCAATTTACCAACTGGTCTCAGTCTAAATCCACATATGAACATCTATGACTGATTTACTAACCATTTTTCCCCCGTTAACATGGAATTCTTACTTTAATAGCACTGAAGTAGGTTCTGATCTAGACTTAGTAACAACTGAGCGCTTTAAGAGAAGATGAGAAATTGTATAGGGAGACTGTATACAGAAACTTTGGCTTGTATGCACTGTGTAAGGCAATTTTATAAGGGTTGTTTGCATACGGAAGGTAAGCTTTTGTGGGCACACTGCATGTATTGATTACAGATGGAGAGGCGGAAAAATGCTACCATACAACCCTGCCATAATGGTGAAGAGCATTGACTCTGCTAAGCTCCAGTATACTGCATTTCATTTATAAGAATATCTTCAAATCCATTGTTTATTGATAAGGCTTTGCAAAGACAGCACCATCCCACTGTATATCAGCCCTGGATCCTACTGTTAATGCAGATGTTCAAGTGGAACCTACACAGAAAATGAGGAGAAAGAGAAGCAACTGAAAGGTTATTTTACTGTAAAATACAACCACAAGACAACCCATCGACCTGGGATTTACAAAAAGTGGATAATTCATGCTCTTGGTATACCTTACCTCCTTGTGGGAGTTCATCTCACGTTCGTACATCGTAAGGTCTCCCATTTTCAGAGCCATGAAAGCCTTAGTAAGTGTAAGGACCACTGATGGCATAATGTCTTCTACTTTACAAAGATACTTTACAGCTGTCAGAGGACATACATTCTTCATGCAGGGACTGCAGATGATATGAGGCAGCTGCATAGGGTCAGCAAGATAGAATATTCGGAGAACTTTATCTGCCAATTCCTATTAAAAAAAAAACAAAACCATTTTATAGTTTCAATATTTCACAGAATCACACAATCACAGAATGATTGGATTGGAGCAGGATTGGAAGGGACCTCAAGGATCATGAATCTCCAACCTCCCTGCCACATGCAGGGCTACCAACCTCCCCATTTTATACTATACCAGGCTGCCCAAAGCCCCATCCAATCTGGCCATTTCCAAATACACAGACTCTTATGGCCTAAGATAGAAGCAAATACAGCTTAGCTATGAAATCACAGTGCTTTTCCTGCCTTTCCTCCCTGTCAGTGAAATTAAATGAGCCAAGAGTGAAACTCTGAAGAGCTAGAACCATCCACCACACTGAGTCAGTTTTACCAGCCAGTACAATCTGTCCATGATCAAAAAACAGTTTGCAGTGTTGCAGAAAAGAGGAACGAAAGAAATCTGAGACAGAACTTTCCTAGCATGGAAGTATCTGTGTGCATTAGTAACATGCATCATGACAGCCAGATCCTTATGTTTCATGATAGCGTTGCAGCTGTTGCTTGCTATTTTGTTAAAATGAGAAAATAAAAACCATGTGAAAAAGAATAATTGTAAAACTTAGAAAGCAGTGCAGTATATCAATAGAAATTGTAATTAAAATTTCATATATCGTTCTTAAAATCAGAACTAGATCAACAGATTAAAAAAAACCAAAAACACTTGTTTTTACCTTGCTTAATTCTTCATTTAACTCTTCATTAAGAGAGTGAGTTAAATAAAATATCAATCCTCTTTCATAGGTCTGTATTTCATCACTTTCTGAAGCTATCCGCTCCAAAACTTCAGCCACAGACAAACCTGACATTCGGTAGTATGGCAAAGCCAGGTGGTAATCCCTTGTGTCAAACCTGAAAGCAACAGACGGGAAGTAACAAAGAGTAAGTAAAGGGACACTTCTGATGCTGTTGGTAAGAACTAAAGTAACACATAACAGTTGTAGACACACCAGTATCTGCAAGCACATGCTATTACTCAGGGTGACATTGTATTCTGTGCCAGATTGACAATAAAAACAATAGATACGGCACAGAGGACCAGGTTAAACTGCAGAGAAGCATGAAATATACACACAATACCAATGTACAGTAGCAAAGAACGATGGACTTTTATGTTTAGGCTAGATTACTGGAAACAAGAGCTCATCCATATCATCTGACATCTAAAACATACCTGCTGTAGCAGTCTCCTAAGAAGGCACAACTTTCTCTGAATGCTCTCAGAAGTTCTTCTTTGTCATCTGATTTAAAGAAACTAGGGTCCATTATTGCTGCTCTGACTAGTAAGTGAGCCTCGCTTAGGAGATGGATGCAACTCTCAGTTCTTACATTTTCATAAGTTCTACTATAATCTACCTAGAACAGACACAGGATATACTTAGGGTGCTGGTAAAAACAATGCACACGAAGAATTCTTGAGAGGGCAGCAGCCATTTGAAATAGGATTACGGGCTATTCACAAGAAATACATTACTGTATATTCAGCACAGAGATTAATAGTACTTATTTTCAGTCAATCAAAACCAAAAGCAGGAGGTAGCAATACCATTTCTCTGTAAAGTTGGATGGTTGAAACAGTGTTTATAATATACAAATTCCAGCCAGGCTCCAACTCAGAAATGGTTCTGGATCTGTTGTTATCAGCCTTTCTGGAACTAGAGAAAAGGAAAAGATTTGAGTTGTCAATGTTTAAATAAACACTATGCAGCCAAAAGAAAATAAATCAATCATATGACAAATCCATAAACAGATATGTTTGCAGGCTAGTAAACACTTGGCAGTTAAATTATAAATTCAAATCACAATTAATGGCTAAGGATAAATGGGCACTTTCATACAGAATGGTTAGAAACCAATACATACAATGGTTAGAAACCAATACATAAGAAGCTTACAAGCTGAATAACTGAAAGTAATTAAGATGCTCACTCTTTTTGTAAAGATTTACCACACTTCTGCCCCTGCATCTAAATACAAGTGTCTGCTAAGATACGATGTAAGAAAGTACCTGAACACTTTTACTCTAGCACATTGGCTGGGTCTTCAACTGCCTGACATTAAAGGACCACGGAGAAACAGTGAAGAAACAGAACAGTAAGCAGTTGATCTAGGATCTCTCTCTCCTTTTTGGTGGTGAAGTACACTAGGTACTACAGGCAGCACTTGTCCAACAAATACCCTTTGCAGAAGGCAAAATGTGTTTCCTTTGTTTCCTTCTCAAATGTCAACTACAAACTTTTAGAAATTGTTTCAGAGAGACAAACTACAGCATTTTGAATTACTGGTTCTCTTTTACCAGCTTAACATTGTCTTCTCTTTAATAAGGTTTGTTCTATGCTTTAAGAAAAACTAGTTCTAATAATTACAACCAACTACAACTGTTCAACTGTTAATGGGCTTTAGCAAATGTGATTTCTCAACTGAACTCCTCTAAACAATGAACAACCCTCAAAGAATGGGAAAGGTAGATCTCACAGAAACAGTCATAAATGTACCTGGCTACATCCATACAACAAGAGTATATCTGACTGAAGTCTGGTCCTTCTTTTGTCATTACTATGATGATGTTCACAACTTTCTAAGATCCTTTAGCCAAACGTAAGTTATTCTCATTTTATGCAACACCATAGTTTGTTAGACCACAGATTCACTATGCTTATATATTTTTGTTTCTCAGTATAAGTATTTATTTCTTCTGAGTAGCAGATATTCTTCATAATATTGTTTCAACATTACTTATGAAAGTTGTTTCTGACAATCTTGATTTCAACCATTTGTGATACCATCTTCTTTTCTTCTATGTTATTTAATACTGCAGAAGTCAAAAATCGGTGCTTGATTTATGCTTTTGTTTACTACCTTGGGAATTATGCTCAAAAAGTCCTTCTGCAGAGGACTCTCTCTTCAATTCCAACACCTGAAAATTCAGCATTGTACATAAAGTTACAAATCCCAGCTCCCCAGAAGATACAAATTCTTACAGCATCCTTCTTGAAGGCTTTCGTCTTTCAGTAATATCTTCAGTATCAGCCTTAGTCAGAAGAACTATATGGTTTTTGTAATGACAGATAGCTCTTGGCCCTATAAAAAGCTGCATTCGTAACGTGCAGACATCCAATGTGACTGGTGGACAAGCCTACAAAAGAAAGTGAGCACTTTGTAATTTTGGTTAGCATGTACTTCGAGTCTTTAATTGAACAAAAAAAAAGTGAAAAGATATAATCTTTGTCTAATAACACTAAAAACATTCACTGGCCTTCCTAGCTTTGAGTGCTTCATTGAAGCAAGAATAAAAATATTCAAACATCAACTCCTCGTAACAATGGGTACAAGAAATGGCTTCACTCTTTGAAGCAGTTGCACATTTTTAACTGTGTCTCAAAATACCTGAACCTTGGCTGCGTCACCTAACATGGAAAAGTTAATACCAAGTAGTTCGATTTTGGCCAAGATGTAAGACTGTCTGATAGAGTTATAAAAGTCCTGATTGTAGTTGCTTACATTATAAAAATGTATTACACATAGAAATACTATATTTGCTTACCTACTGTTACATTTCATGCCCAGTATTACATCCTGATTCATTCAGTGTGCACCTTTCAGCCAAAAATTACCACATCCTCTACACTGGACTAAAAACTGAAAAAAAAGCAACCTCATTTGCCCAGAAATATTTTGAATTTATAGCATTAAGATAAATATTTACAAATTAACATGCACAGTGCAGCAAGGAGAGACAGCATCATGTTTTACATGTACCCTGCTTTTTGAAGAAATTCACACCAGGACAGGGATGCCCCTAAGGGACTGCAGCCCCTGGAAGACCCTTTGCCAGGGTGGGTCTGTGACCCATGGAAGGCAAGCTGTGGTGTGGACAACCACAAGGGCTGCAGGCTTCCATTATGTGCACATTTTCTCAGCCTCCTGAGGCCGCCTGTTGCCAGGCTGAAGGAATTATGAGGGACTGAACATAAGCTCTGGAAACACATGCAGACCTGAGTCTGAGAAAGGGACAGGTTCTTTCATGTGTTTGAAAATGGAGGTCAGAGAATGTTTGGCTCTTGAAATTTTTGTAATACAACTGCTCTGTGGTTTCTTTATGTCTGCTGTCTACATGCTCAAATTAAATCCATAAAGGTCAGCTTAAAATACTCTTCATTCTCAACTGCTCTGGTATTTTTATTAACATTTGTTCCAATTTCTGTAATCGAGCAGATTTTTACAGCAAAGCAAACTGAGGAAGGGGCAAAATCAAGAACTTCGATGATTAAAAGCCCTCCTCTTCAAAAAAAAAAAAAAAAAAGAAAGAAAGAAAAAAGAACCAACACAAAAACCAACACGTTATCAGGTAGGCAGACACGCTCAAATGTTTACACTCCTCTTAAGAAAACTGCCAGTTCAAAGACACCCGAGAAAGGGAACAAAAATAAAAAAGAAGAAAGAGAGAAAAGACCAAAGTTTAAGTTTCAAGACAGGCCGGTTCTGCAAACATCGTCAGCCGCAATATGGGAAATCTCTGCTCCCTCCATTCAGATTTATACAGGAGAGTACGATTTTTGTTCTAAGTGTACATGATTTTACAGGTTTTTAAAATATTCTATTAACCCTCTGGAATCTTAAACAGCAGTAATAGATTGCAGCAATACACCTGCAGACCATTAAATTAGAATATGCCACAGGCTGATGTAAAATATTAATTTTGGATGTTATTTGTCATAGCGAATAGAAACAAATGGGATTTCGGTATGAAACACAACTGCCATATTGCTGCCCCAGTCTTTTAGAAAAAATATGAGATATGCACCTTCACAGTTGTATCAATGTATGGATCTTCATCGCGAGCTGCTGCTGCACTGCACCGCACTGTGTAACACTGCAGGCTCTCACTAGAAGGAAAGAAGAAACACTGATGAAGAAAAAAAGTGAAAACTTGAATTAATCCAGGACAAAAACTAGACAGAATCAGCTCTGTGATGCAGACAGAAGGGCATTCTGCACTAAAACATGGATCCACCCAGAATGACCGAAGAGGCTGCGAAGGACTCATAAATGAGCCAAAGAGGAAAATATATTAAAACAAACAAACAAAAAAAAAGACAGTTACCTTGTAATGACATGCAGGAACTGTGGAGTAAGAACTGCCTGCTCCGACCTCTCCGAGTACTGGTACGTAGAAATCAGTTCTACTAACTTCCCAACAGAGTAGAGATATCCAACATGAGGCAAAGAAAAAAAGCAGAAGAGACTCAGTAGTTCTCTCTTCTCAGTTTCCTCATTTGCTGTCATAGAACTCCCTAGACATAACAATAAAAAAGGCATCTCATATACTTCATAAATCAAAGCCATTCTGTTTCTTTGTGACCTGATGCCTAAACTACACTCTCAGACGTGCCCAAGTTCCAGACCAGTTTTATTAGTAGCTATTGAAAAGAATTTGAACAACAGCATATCAGCAGGTAGCAATCAATTTGTTATCTCATCGGAAGTAATTTACAACAGAAGCATGGATGTACTCACAAGTGAAGAATTTCCATAGATCGAACAGCACATGGAAACTGGGAAAAAAAGAAACTGGGAAAAAGAGGGGAGATCTAGATGAGATATAAAGAAGTTTTTACAGTAAGGTTGGCGAGGTACTGACACAGGCTGGCCAGAGAGGTGCCCTGTCCCTGCAGACATGCAAGGTAAGGCTGGATGGGGCTGTAAGCACCTGATCGACCTGTGGGCATCTCCATTCACTGCAGGGGAGTTGGACCAAATGACTTTTAAGTGTCCCTTCCAACTCAAGCAATTCTATGATTCTATAATTCCAGGCAGAGTCATTAGAACTAAATGTCCATGAATGGAATGAGCAGCCTGATCATTCTTAGGTAGGCAAAGCCTGTGTTCAGATTCTACAGACTTTCTTGCTCAAGTCTATAAATCACAAGGGAAAAGTTAGCTGGAGTTGAATAACAAGTATCAACTCTTGGAAAGGGTAGATAACTGCAGGACAAGGGGAAGTAGTTTGAAGTCGAGGGAGGAAAAATGTAGGGTTGGATGTCAGGGGGAAATTCTTTACTGTGAGAGTGGTGAGGTGCTGGAGAAGCTGCCCAGACAGACTGTGAATGCCCCATCCATCCCTGGAGGTGCTCAAGGCCAGGTTGGACTGGGCCCTGGGCAGCCTGGTCTGGTATGAAATGGGGAGGTTGGTGGCCCTGCACGTGGCAGGGGGGTTGGAGATTTGTGATCCTTGAGGTCCCTTCTGACCCTGACCATTCTGTGAAGTAGCTTCTTCATTTCAGTCACCTGCAGCTTAAATATGGCTTTGCAACCAGAAAACTAGAAACTGGGTGAGCAGGAAAGACGATCTGATATAAAGCATTTTTCCATGGTTATGTTGAGGCTTGAGTGAGGGCATCTTAGTGAACCCCTAAAATTAGTTTTCACTCCCTTCTATTTTAGAGCTTGAAATAAAGATAACCAGTACCTTAATATTAAGATTTACTTCTCTGATGTCTGCTATTAACTCTGAGAGGCATCCTAATATCATACAGTAACACTGAGGATAACTTTATTTATGCGACATAAAAAGTGTCTCTTTCGTGATACAAAATTAGTCACTGAGAACCACTGAGAGTAGTCTTTGAATAGACTTCCTCCTTCGTTGTTGCTAACTGGTATTTTAACTCATACTGCACCCCCACGTGTGCGCTTACCTGTCTGGTAAACAGGGAGGAACTGAACAGAGTGCAGCTTCGTCTCTTCACAAAAGCCAAAAGGGGACTGGTCTGGTGTAAAATGCCTGGAGGGAAAAAACACAACATGGGAAGTCAGTAAGAAGCTATCATCTACTCCAAGCAAGTAAACAGCAACAGCTGTAATACCCAGAGTTGATGTTTTTATACTCAACTATCCTTCATTCCTATTGCTAATACAGTTATCTTAGCAAGGCCAAGACACACGTAGCAGAGCTAGAGGCAACCACCTCAAGTTTTTGCAACCAAAAATTCTTTCTTTGCTCCTCCACAAGTCATGCATTCAATGCTGGGATCTGATGAATGTCACGGAGTGATCTCTAGATCTGTGTCCATGACAGGAGGAGACAGGCCCACAGGCCCAGAAGAGAGGAGGGGAGTGTCAATGGTTTCGGGACGTTTCAGCCCAGTTCTGCGACTAATGGGGCAGGGGACCCAGAGACCCACACCTTAAGAAAGGGAAAAGGGGGAAGGGTAGGGAGACGGGCCTACAAATGAACAGTGGCAACGATCTGAGGAGGAAGGTTAATTTACTACATTTGGTATTGGAATGCAAGATAACACAATATAATACAATGTACAATTAGAACCGAGGCTAATAAATCAAATAAAATGAGACAGAGAGAGTGTCCAAAACCAAAGGCCTTATTCTGAATTGAAAGCAAAATGGCTGGGGAGCAAGCCACACACGCCGCCAGGCAGCAAAAAAAAAAGAGACCAGTCCCGTGACCTGCAAGGAGTTTTATCTCCCCCTCTGAATGCAAAGTCCTCTGGGGTATGCAGTTCTTCTCTTCTGAGAATCAGGTGCCTGGAAAATTGGCAGTCCACAGAAATGGGGCATTAACTCCTTAACTCCCAGTGCTTTTCATGATGTTATGATGTGGAGTACCAATAACAAAAACTGTAAAGCCATGACAGTGCTGAACACACACTAAAATGGATCTGAACCATTATTTAACTTTTTTTTTTTTCCCCATCCCTTCTTCAACTGAACACAATGTAACATGGCGCAGCCCTCAGTCCTACTTTTCTTTCCTATTGCATCTCATCCTTTTCCTTGCTTTGGAATTCACAGCTGGACTGCAATACCAATGCTTCAACAGTTTTAGATAAAAGTTTAAAGGATTTGATTACTAACAAAACCAAAGGTGTTGTTTTTTAGTGCTGAAGATACTTAGTAAACTCCCTGTTCCCAGCTGCACAAAGGGAGAACTTTTTTTTTTGGTAAAAAGTACTTAAGTAACCATCACTTCAGCTGGAGTCGAACCCCACACAACAAACAAGCAGAAGGCAGTGCCTTGATCGCTGTCAGGACTGGTGATTATTTCTGACTGTTACATTTTGTAGTAGGCTTGTTGTAAATATTAAGAAAATGGCACACAAGTTACTCCAGAATAAGGTGTGTAAAACTGCTCTGCTAGTTTGGCATGAAAGTATAAGAACTGTGGGTGGCCAAATGCTGGAAAAGGCTGCCCAGTAAGGAGCTACTCGTTCTCAGCTAGATCGAGTCCTGGAAAGCCTAGTCCAGCTGATCCTGCCCAAGCAAGGAGATGTTAAGGAGAGGGACTCAGCAAGTCCCTTCCAATCTAAATGATTTTGTCATCCAGTATGCTGAGAAAATACCATCCCTCCTGATACATCACAAGCGAAGCTGTCATGTGTGCCCTTCATGGAATACAAGGATGTACAATGAAAACTGGTATTAAACATCACCAATACTGCAAAATCACCAGTTAAATTGCATTTAACTGTACTAACTAGCCACTTTCACAAAATTAAATAAAGCTTAGGATTTGCAAGGCCAAGTAAGGATCTTCATTTGCATCACAGTTATCTTCTCAGCAGACAAAAAAAAAAAAAAAAAAAAAGGAACAACATAAAAAATACACAGCACACAAACATCCCAGAAGCCAAAATACCAGGATTTTTCTTTCAGCAAGATGTGAGCTCATTTTGGTTAGATGGAATTATTAACATAGCAGTTAACCCTTGCAGGGGAAAATGCATTTGTAATACCTGAAAAGGAGATACTGCACTTGAAAGTGCTTTTTGTCTTCTGTAGACAACTCTGTGGACTCAAGTGTGATGGGTATCTTACAAAGCTTACTTTCTTCCCCAAGCAGTTCCACTGGCTTCTGACATATGACAAACTCATCTAATTCAAGCTGCAAACTATGAGCTGCAAGGTCTTCATCTTTTATACCTAAACAATGGAAATGTATCAAAGCGTTCAAACAATTCCATTTAGCAATAAGAAAACACTGACACTGATACAATATCGACTAAAAACTCCAACTACAGGAAACTAATTAGCACTGGCTTCCACAAACTATGACATTTTGAGACGAGCTACACTAGAAAACAAGAACAATCGACTTTTCACATAAACCATATCCTGGGCTGCCTCAGAAATGAAGCCAGCAGGGCAAAGGAGGTGGTTCTCACCCTCTGCTCCCCCAGTCCCTCACAGAGCTACATTCAGCTCTGGGCCCCAGCACAGGAACACAGGCCTGTAGGAGTGGGGACACAGGAGCCCGCAGGGATGCCCAGAGGCCGAGTGCCTCTGCTGCAGGGTCAGGCCGACAGCCGGGGTTGCTGGAGAAGGCTGCGGGGAAAAATGATCGTGGCCTTCCAATACCTAAACAGGGCTTATGAAAAAGATGAAGAGACTTTTTCCATGCACGTGGAGAGACGTGCCGTGGTGTAATGGCTTTAAACCGAGACAGAGCAGAGTTACATCAGATATAAGAAAGAAATTCTTCACTCAGAGGGCAGCGAGGGCCTGGCACTGCTGCCCAGGGCAGCTGTAGGTGCCCTATCCCTGGGGGCAGTCAGGGCCAGGCCGGATAGGTTTGGGCACCTTGTCTATGGGAGGTGCCCCTGCCCACAGCAGGGGTTGGAACTGGACGGACTCTGAGGTCCCTACCAACCCACCCATTTTGTGATTCTATTAAAAGGCAAGCTGCTCAGTATAAGGCAAATCCAAAGCAACCTGTGCTGTAAACAGCCAAATAACAAATAAAAAAATGTTGTCATTTGGTTGAAAAGGTTTTCAGAAAGAAAAAGGTAGCTATGATACAATGTTGTGTGATCTTCAACACACCTAAGTTCCAGAAAACAAATCCTAATTGCACTCAAAAATGTTTTGAACTTTTCTATTTGGCTTTAAGTACTGAAAACAACCCAGTGTGAATTGTCTGCGCTAAAATCCATTGTCCACCAATGAAGAAAACTCCATTTGATATCTTTCCCATCTGAAATTTTATTGACTTTTTTTTTTTAAGGTGTAGTTTCCATTTCAAGAAGCACAAACCATTTAAAATTTCTTAAATTATAAATGAAAGATTTTCTAAGAGCTTTCTGCTGTTGATCTGATTTTTAGGTGGGAGCTAATCAGGTTAATTCCCACACATTGCAAGCAGGCAGTATGTAAAGACATCACGTTTGAGCCTTCTTTATGAATGACAGTAATCAGCAGATTCTCAGTCTGAAAAAGTTCAATATCTGTACTTACCTCCATCCACCAGCTTTTCTGTTGTACTAACTTGATATGCGCATTGCTCTCCCCTGTCTGCACTATGCTGGATCAGGTCCAGTTTCAGGATTAGAACATCCAACTCTGTTGTTATCGCTATGTGCCTAGCGCAAAATGCAACTTCGGCAGGAATGAAGTTATCAATGTGTAAAATTAAGGAGCGTTCAAAGTCTAATACTGTCAAATTCTGGTTTATGACCAGGTATTTCAAACAGAACATGACTAGCTTATTCTTGCAGCCCACAAGAAGATCTCCATTTACAGGACAACATGAAATACACAGCGGAGGATCTGAAAGTGCCATTTCCACTATCGACATCTGCTCTTTTAAGGTTTCGGTGTACGACTCCTCCATCTTGTGACCCACCATCCGGACACAAACACGAGAACTGCCTGCAGACATGCATCGCCAGTTCACATAAGCTCTTAGGAAAGTTGCTTTGCTTTTCTCTTCAATCGTCACCAAATAGTCTCCTTAAGGTAAAGCAGAAGGACTGTTAAGTCGTTAAAGAACACACGACAGCGTTTGAGCTGCTTACCTGCGAACCCAATAAAATACATTACAAAAAGTATCTTAAATTCTCAGCTCTCACATAGCGTTCCAGAGTACAGCCTTTACCGGGTTTTCTTTAATGAGAGATTTCGAGCGCAAATTAATTCGCTAGGTAAACGCACTTCACGTACTGTTAAAGGAAAACACACGGCTCCAGAGCTCCGACGCTACTTCGACGTGGGCCCACTGTAAGAGCAGCGCTCTTCTCAGAGGAGACGCCCCGGCCGGGCAGCAGCTCCGGGCTCCGCGCTCGCAGAGGCCACCCGCCCCCGCCCTGAGGAACTTCGGCCCCGCGCGCCCGGCACTGACCTGCACGGCTGTGCGCCATGCGCAGCACGGAGCCCAGGGTGGCGAAGGAGCCCAAGGGCTCGCAGCGGCCCTCGCGGCGTACGGCGAACACCTCCACCCCGCAGCTGGCCGCCGCGCTGGCCACGAACAGCACGTCGCGGCCGCAGCAGAACTGCGCCGGCTCCTGCTTGCAGGGCACTACTCTCTGCGACCCGAACGGGTGCAAGTTGTAAAGCCGCACCATGGCCGCCGAACACCGGCACCGCTCGGAGGTTTCCTGCGGCGGCGCTCCGCCTCGCCACCTTCCGCCTCCGCGCGCCCTTCCGCAGCGCGCGGCGCTCCTCGGGGGCGGGGCGCAGGACGCCGAGCGCAGCTCCGTGCCCCGGGAGGCCCCGCCCGCCCCCTGGACGCGCCTCTGCGCCGTCACGCGCCGCTTTGTACGGGTTGCGTTATCGGGTTGCAGCGTCGGTGCTTTCAGGCGTGCTCTTGCATCGCAGCGTGTTGTGCCGTAAGCGGCACCAGCTCCTTGCGCTGCGGATTTCACGAGCGGGAGGCAAACCCGGAACGGAGCGCTGAAGGGAGGCAGGCGGCGCGAGGAGCGGCGCCGTGGGAGCGGGAAGTGCCGCTGTGTGGTGAGGACGGCGAGTTCTGTTTCTGAGCGGCTCTCCAGCTGCCCATCTGCCAAGCTGGCCGGCGTCGCTCCGACCCAGGTATAGAAGCCGGCGTTTACCTTTGTTGAACTGCATGCCGTTGATGATTGTCCAATGCTCCCGTAGATCCAGGACCCCCCCCCCCCCCCCCAGTGTTAACAGCACCTCCCTCCTGTCAATCAGCACGCTTCTAGGGATGGATTCAATTAATAGATGAAGTAATGCTGTCAGTGATGCTGATTCTTCATCCATCCATTTTTATTAATTCATCAAAGCTTACAGAGTCCACAGAGTTGTGCATTAAAGGACACGTAAGTATTTCATAGGTCAGTGTAGGAATTCAAAACATGACTATTTTAAAGCAGGTAATCTGACATTTTATTTTCCTTCTATCTAAGGTAGAACTGAGTGTAAGGGGGCACGCTGGTTGGAAAATTTTACCTTTTGTCTGCTGAGTCTCCCCTTTTTTTTTTTTTTATTTTTTTAAGTAGCAACTTTGGTGCTTTTAGCAAATATTCTAGTTCAGACCAAAAGTGTAATGGCACTTACCCTTACTACAGTTAGATAAATTGAGTACAGTGTTACTGACACAAGTTTGTAATTTAATCTTTAAGCTGTGCAAGACTAGATGCTACCAAAAACTGTAATTTCAAACGGTTCTTACGCAGCAACTGTGTGTGTAAACAGTAACAAAGAAAAAAATGAACAGTACAACATTTAAAACTGCATCTGAAAAAAACAAGCAAGCAAGTGAACAGGATTCTGCAATTCATTTGTTGCTGTTACAGAACACACTTTTTATTACTTCAGCATTTTCAGTATTCATCCTCTTCTTCAGCCTCTGCTTCTACAGAGTCTATCCCAACTTCTTCATAATCTTTTTCAAGGGCAGCCAGATCTTCCCGGGCTTCGGAAAATTCTCCTTCCTCCATTCCTTCCCCAACATACCAATGTACAAAGGCACGTTTGGCATACATCAAATCGAATTTGTGGTCGAGACGAGCCCATGCTTCAGCAATGGCAGTGGTATTACTCAGCATACATACAGCTCTCTGCACCTTTGCAAGGTCACCACCCGGCACCACAGTTGGAGGCTGGTAGTTAATGCCCACCTTCAAGAAAACAAGTGAGAACGTCTTTAATTACTGGGAAGCACTGAAGACTTATTTCTGTTAACAACAACAGCAGCCACAACTGTGAACAATTAAATAAAATTATTTTGCGCTTCATCAAAATATTTAACTAAATCCTAAATTCAGGATCTGGTCAAACTGGTCCAGCGTTAGCTACATTGGCCTAGAGATTATTTTTCCAACAGATCATAAGAGCTTACTGGACTCTACAAAGAACATAAGAATCTAGGTCTTTCCAAGTCCTGAATGCATGGACAGTAGCTGGAAGGATGGACCTCTTGTCCGCAAGGTGACACTGCCAGTCAACTGAGGACATACAGAAGTAGCTGAACAACCTGATATTGATCTAGTAAAAAGTCTACTTACAGGAGCCTATGTTTAAACGAATCACAACGAAAAAAATAGGTTTGCTCTAGTGACAGCAGTCAGGCTCCACATGTCCAGAAACTGATAGCGTCTACCACTTCAAGGTATCTCAAAAACATTGTTGGGAAATTACTGCACTGAATTCAGTAACTTAATGTAGTGTTTCTACATTTGCTTGGGGCTTGCCTATATTCCTTCTGTACAAAGCTCCCTAGATTTTTGAAGACTTGCAGTAAAACCTTTGCTTTTCAGTACCACCTGCTTGTAAATTATTTTCAGACACTCAGTATTGCCTGTTCCTACAAAAACCGTGACTGCTACTCTGTAACTTGTTTTAGAATTTTCATCCGAGTTAAAATATCATGGAATTGTATTTAAGAATATAATCTGAAACGTAAGCAGTTCAGTAACAGGAACGTTACACTACAGTACAATGACCGCTACCTCCAAATATCATGTAATTCCTACTATTTCCAAAATCAAGCACTTCAGAAGTTATCAAAGTACCTTGAATCCAGTTGGGCACCAATCCACAAACTGAATGGTACGTTTAGTCTTGATAGTAGCGATAGCTGCGTTAACATCTTTAGGGACAACATCACCTCTGTATAACATACAGCAGGCCATGTATTTACCATGACGTGGGTCACATTTTACCATCTGGTTGGCTGGTTCAAAGCAAGCATTGGTAATTTCAGCCACGGATAACTGCTCATGGTAGGCTTTTTCAGCAGAGATGACAGGGGCATATGTTACCAAGGGGAAATGGATTCGTGGGTACGGAACAAGGTTAGTTTGAAATTCTGTCAGATCTACATTAAGGGCTCCATCAAAACGTAGTGAAGCTGTGATGGATGAAACAATTTGCCCAATTAGCCGATTTAAATTGGTATAAGTGGGACGTTCTATGTCCAGGTTGCGACGACATATATCATAAGTGGCTTCATTATCTACCATGAATGCGCAGTCTGAATGCTCCAGTGTTGTATGTGTAGTTAAAATTGAATTGTAAGGTTCCACTACAGCAGTAGAAACCTGTGGTGCTGGATAAATTGCAAATTCTAGTTTAGATTTTTTGCCATAGTCAACAGAGAGCCTTTCCATGAGCAGAGATGCAAACCCTGAACCAGTGCCTCCTCCAAAACTGTGAAAGATAAGGAAACCTTGCAGCCCAGTGCACAGATCAGCCTATAATAGGGTGGAAAAAAAACAAGAGAGAAAACACATATATTTATTATTACCTTTTCCAAAATCATCAATATTAAAATAAACAGTCAAAAGTAATTATTTCCTAATCATTTGTTTTAAAAGGTAACTTTTTTCTTGTATATCTTTTACTTAAAACCAACACAGCACACCTTGTTCTGAATATGAGTATTTTCTCATTTGAATGTAGCATTTTCCTTTATGCATTTTTTATCCTACTAAAAGCAAGAGCAGTTGTGCACCACTGTGAAAGGTTATTAGAAATTACAGCAGGCTTGCAGCTTTTAAACTACTATTGTACTCTATATGGCAGCAAGTATCAATTTGGTTTGGAAAAAAAGTATTTTTACAACTACAGATAGGCAATCACTACTTCACTTTCATTCACATCATGCTATGTGAGTTTCTTACATTACACCAGGTTATGAAAAGCTAGAAAGACATGTGAAATTACTGAACGTCCAACCAAAATCTGAGTTTCAGGGTACTGGAAATATTTTGAATGACACATAATGGTGCGATTCAGGTTAAAAATAACAAACAAGTGCTTACAGTCTAAAGATTTTATAATGCACTTCTGAGGTATCCTTAAAATATCTTAAAATAATGATGTTCCACATCACAAGAACTTTCAAGCTTTACTGACTGAATTTTTATTTAACTCAAGAGGGGGGAGGCATGGGACCAAGTTCTTGGTTTTTTGTTTTTAATAATCTATGCACAAAACTCTTAAAAACAAACAACTCCCTCTCCCTCCTCCCCCCCAAAAAAACACAACACAAGTGTCATAACAAATTGTAACTATAGGTAGCTCTAGAGCTGTATTTTAAATAAAATTTGTATTTTAAATATTGATCTGCAGCATGAATTCTTACCAGTTTGCGCGTGCGGTCTAACACTAGATCAACAATCTCTTTTCCAATGGTGTAATGGCCTCTGGCATAATTATTAGCTGCATCTTCTTTCCCAGTAATGAGCTGCTCAGGGTGGAACAACTGCCTGTATGTGCCTGTACGTACTTCATCTACAAACGAAAAAATACATATTCCAACATAAAATTTATCTGCTGAGTTCTGCATGTGGTGCCTAGGGATGACATACTAAGTAAAAGGAAATGTCAAAAACCTACAGACAGCTTCCATGAACAAACGCAGCAAGAAGTTGGTACAACTTCAATGTCTTTCTTTAGGGGAAAACATCGGATGCTCACAAAGCAGTATTTGCATCCTGGAACATGGAGGCAACTCAAGAGAACTACACTGCAGGCACAGGCAATCTGGATAGCAATGAAATGAAGCTGTGGATGTAGTGCAGTGGCTTGGAAAGATATCCAAAATCTGCAAAGAAGTTTAATGTTTTCCAAACATTACCAAACATAGACCATCATTTCATCTCTTTCAAATAACACTAACCAAAAATGTCAAAACGTCATCCAGCTATACACCTTTTAGAACCCCTAGTGTTTTGAAAATGCAAAAAAGTCTGAAAGGAAAGGAGTAGTTTTACATTGAAGATGTGCATCTTGCGTACGTACCGACTACCGTTGGCTCCAGGTCCACAAACACTGCTCTGGGAACATGTTTACCAGCTCCCGTCTCACTGAAGAAAGTGTTAAATGAATCATCTCCGCCTCCAATAGTTTTATCACTGGGCATGTGACCATCAGGCTGGATCCCATGTTCAAGACAATACAATTCCCAGCATGCATTGCCAATCTGAACACCAGCCTGACCAACATGGATAGATATGCACTCACGCTGCAAACAAAAAAAAGGACAATGATAACGTGAGATCTGGGGCTATCCATCACTTAGATTTCACTCTCAAAATGACTTTCTATCTGTGGGTTATACTGTAGTGATCTTTCCCTGCTGCATTATTACTTCGGCTGCTTGAGTGACAATTAAAATGATCCAACAGTCTGCTGCTAGCATGAATCTACTCACTGCTGCTGATCTACACTGTCAGGAAAGGAAGGCAAGAGACAGGCGTGGCTGAACCAGGACCTGCTGGTCAAATGGAAGAACAAGAAGAAAACCTACAGGCAGTGCAAACAGGTACCATGGGAAGACTATAAAGAAGCTGCAAGTCTGTGCAGGGAGGGGGTCAGGAAAGCCAAGGCCCAGCTTGGCCTAACTTTGGCAAGGGATACCAAGAAGAACAAGAAAGGCTTCTACAGGTACCTCAACCAGAAAACGAAAGTCCAGGAATGCATACCATGCCTAGTAAGTGACACAGGCGATCTGGTAACAACAGACAAGGAGAAGGCTGAGGTACTTAACGACTTCTTTGCTTCAGTCTTCTCTGATAACTGCTCGCCACACAGCCCTCAAATGTTTGGTTTAGCAGCAGGGAACTGGGGAAGCAACGTCCCTCCCACTGTAAGCAAAGATCACGTTTTTGACCACCCAAGGAACCTGAACACCTGCCAGTTTATGAGTCCCAATGAAATGCATCCCAGAGTCCTTAGGGAATTAGCTGATGTAGTCACCAAGCCACTCTCCATGACATCTGCAAAGTCCTGGCAATCAGTCTCTGGTGACTGGAAAAAGTCAACAGCACACCCACTTCTAAGAAGGATAATATGATGACCCTCAAAACTACCAACCCATCAGTCTCACCTCTGTGAGCTAAGGCACACGGAAGGCAGGCAGAACCAGCATGGCTTCACCAAGGCCAAATCTGCTTGACCAACCTGGCAGTCTTTTATGGCAGTGTCACTGCATCAATGGACAACAGACGAGCCACATGTATTTCCAATTTGGAGAGAAGGATGTTGTGGGGTATTGTGTCAGAGTCCTTCAATCACAGTCCTTAAATATATGGAAATATGTGAAAATATATATGAAATATATGGATTTGATGAGTGGACTGTTCAATGGATGAAGAACTGGCTGCAGAATCGAGTCCAGAGAGCAGTGGCCAATGGCTCAGTGTCCGGATGAAGATCGGTGACAAGCAGCGTCCCCCAGTGCTGGGACTGGTACTCTTTGATACCTTCATCAGCAACATCAAAAGTGGGGTCAAGTGCACCCTCAGCAAGTTTGCTAATGACACCAAGCTGTGGGCTGCAGTTGACACACCAGAGGAACAGAGGGCCATCCAGAGGGACCTAAGCAGGCTTGAGCAGTGGGTACAGGCGAACTTCACAAAGTAAAACAAATTTAGGTTGGATAGAAGGAAACAGTTTTTTACAGCAAGGGTGGCAAAGCACTGGAACAGGCTGCCTAGAGTTGTGGTTGATGCCTCATTCCTGGAGACTTACAAGGCAAGGTGGGATCAAGCCCTGGGCAATCTAATCTAGCTGTGCTTTTCCCTAATCATTGCAGGGGAGTTTGACCAGCTGACCAACTGTAAAGATTCTAGGATTTAACGTTGAGAATGTTGGAAGATCTTAGATACCACGTGGTCACACAGGATGAATGCAGTATCATCATTCCTTACCACAGAGCACATATATCCTGTGTATAATATTCCGTTTAGTCTCTTTTTCACCTTTCTTTGGTTTTAGAAGCCTTCTTTATATAATAACCCCCTATTTCCTTGATCTGTTGACAATAATGTACTGAGTAATGTTGCAATAATCTTTTCTGCACAAGACCTCTAAGTATGTTTTCCTTTACAATAAGCACATAACTAGTGCCAGGCAATCCATTCATATTTGGGTTCCTCTACTAAATCATCTGGGTGAGGAAGCATGGCACTTATGTTTAATCACTCAAAACCCCAATTTTGTTTTACATCTGAGACTGAAACTCTTATTCTAGCTTATTATTATATACTATACATATATACTATTATGGTGTATTTAGCTGATCTAGGAAAACACAGAGGTAGAGAGTGTCTTTAAAGCTTCATCAAAACTCTCATCTTCAACTACATGTTTGAATTCTCACCCTCGTGGTTCTGTCACTAGCCTTTTGCCAGTGAGGCTCACTCTGCATTTATCTGCACTTCTATTGGGTTGGCAATGAGCTTCCAACGCTTTCACACCATCCCAGGCTCTCGTTCCCCAGCGCGCAGCCCCGCGCAGCCTGGAGCGGGAGCAGAGACGCAGACACCGCCGCACAGCCGCGCCCCTTCACGGCACGGTGGCACGCCATTGGCCGCCGGACACAGGCCTCTCCTCTGATTGGCTGCGTGCAGACCCCAATCGTTTTAGGCACCACAAGAAATGCCGCCGCCGATGCGGTAGGCGTTCTTGTCCCTCAACCGTCGTCCTTCGCACTGCAAAGCCGGTTTCGTTGCTTTTCCACCTGTTTTGTCTCATTTACCACCAGACAACTTCTACACATCACCTCCCTCCAACTCTCAGTTCTCATGTTAATTTCTCCACTCCCACACACGGCCTTACGCCACCGCAGGGCCGCAAGCGGCAGCACTCCGCGAGCTCCGCAGCAGCACAGGTAACTCTCGACTCCCCAAACCCGCCGCGGCAAAAGCCATCCCAGGTTCCCTTCCTCTCCCCAACCCGAGTTCCCACTCCCACCATGGCGCCTCGTAAGGATCACCAGCTTCGGCCGCAGGGCACCGCACGGCCGTACGTCCGCAACCGAAGAGACGCAACTGCCGTCAGGTAACGGTCCGGAGAGCCCTTGCGCGCTGCTTTCCCATTGGCTGTCACCCGGGCCAGAGGCGAACGGCGGCCACCGATTCGCCAGTGCGCTCTTCTCCTCACGTGGGGTGCTAACTGCCGCATGCTCGGTTGGTGGCGTGACTGAAGCGTTGGGGAGTTCCCGCGCAATTTGGGTCTGTGGAGAAAGCGTGTGGCGGGGCCGTGCGCTGCGCGGGTGCTGATGTCCTGTTTCCGCGCAGAACACGAGCGGTGGTTCTAGTCCAAAGTAACTTTTCTAAAGGGGTTACAGAACTCAATATTTCGTTTCCTTTTTTTAATTCTCTATGAGATTTCAGTTGTTCCAATGCAACTTCTGTGTAGTTTTTTTTTTTTCCACGAGATTTTTCATAATTTGCAATCAGTTGCATTTAAAGCTACATCTGTAGCAGTAGACTGAGGCTAATGCCTGGCTTCTGCCATTGTTTCCTGAAGGAAAAGCAGTTTGTACCTGCATGTGGAAGCTGTTATTTTCTGTCCGATGGTCTTTTCTGAGCTGTACTCAAGAGCCCAGCAGTAGGGTCTTTACAGTTTTAAATTTCTGTTGTTTTTTTACAAGGCAATCTGTAGTGTTATGGAAGATTTAGCTAAGGGAGATCTTGGCAATATTTGCCTCCGTTTGCACGTGATTTAAATTTAAATGCATGCAATTAAATGCAATTACTGCACGGGCTGTGAGTTTGGCTGGATTACTGACAGCTCTTTAGAACCAAGCAGTTCAGCTTGAAGGGAACCACAATGACCACAGAGCTCTGCTGCCCAAAACCCACCCAAACAAATGAACAAAAATACACACAAAAAAACCCACCCACAAACAGAATTGTATCGTCTGCTAACAACAAGAACTGGTAAAAAGTTAGACATAGAAATTTCTGTTATTTCACTGAAGCTAGTGGAGTGATGTTAGTTAATGTTAAGTGTTGGCCTACACCAATTTGATGCATTTCTAATTGCCACCATTATAATCTCATTAAAAGCAGTTAGCTTGTTAAGCTGTTCACTTTTAAATTTCTCTTGAGGCGTTGCTTTCTTTTTCTTTAGATGGGGATGAATGACTATTTTAGAGGCGAATTATTGAAGACTTTCGCTATCTTGTCTTTATGTTCCTGCCTAACATTACTACAAAAATTATATGGCTGACTTTATAATATAAATTATAATATAACTGATAGATTTGAATGTGTTCAGCTCTTCCTGTTACTCTCTTTATGCATGTCAAACTCTTTTACATAATTTTAGTTACAGAATTTGTGGTGCTTCTTAACCTTTCTAGCCTGATTATGTCATGTGAGCTCTGGATGCTTTTCCACCTTTACCTTCTTCATGGACATAAATCTTTATTAATTATCATAGACAAATGACGATGACTGAGGTTGAAAAAAAACAAACAAAAAAGCCTCTGAGGTAGGACCATCATTTGGTAATGATGGAAGAACGTTAAGCACCAACAAATGGAGAAATGAGAGCAAGCATCATTGTCTACTACTTTCATTTTAGGAAACGACTTTAAGGGAAAGGAAGTTCTGAAAGTACTGGCTGTAGTATAGAGCCTCTAAGAGCTCTACGGTCTATACCTGGTCTATGACCAGGTATTCAGCCTCTTGTGTGTGTTCATCAAGAGAAAATTACAATAAAATTCCCATGAAAAATTAGAAAAATAAGGGCTGAGTCATTGCTTGCCTCAGATGATTAATCAGTGGTTCAGGCCGTGATTCAGCAGTCCCTGTACAGTAGCTCTGGATACTCTCATAAAACAGTCACTGAAAGGGTAAGTGCAAAGATTGTGCTTTTTGTTCCATGAATAGAAAGTAATGGATATATTTTTTTTGTACGCGAGCATATTCTGAAAGCATCCAGCTCCTCATGAAAACAAACACTTTTGCTAGACATAAAGCTTATTATATTAAAAAAAAAAAAAAAAACCAAAAACTTAATGAGGACCATGCTGCTGTGGTGGGTTTTTTTTTATTGTCTCCCCCCCCACCCCCCACTGGTTGTAGTTGTTAAGAGCTTGATTCTTGATATGGTCTTGGCCTTCATAAAACGATTTTTTTTTTTTAAATTTAGTTAGGGAATAATGTGGAATCTACAGCTATTAATTTTAAACTTCTCAGGAGCTATACTTCATATGTGTGTATATATATACATATATGTGTATCTTATGTCAGCAAACAGGGGCATTTTGGCAACTAGAAATATACACTAAATTCCATTACCTCCTTAGAAATCCATAATGATTCCTTGCATTTCTTCTTCTATTTTAAGAAATAGTGAGTTAACTGAAGGAATCCAAAATATGTGGCTTAACAAGCTGATGCACTTTTATGGAGCTAGTTTCTTAGCCTCGAGGAAAACGTGCTGTGATGCTTTGAGTTTGGTAGACAAAGAATTAACAAGACATGGGCAGTGGAATAATGTGCCCTGGTAGCTGGTTACAGTCCTGGAAGTCTGACAAAAAAGCAGGAAAGCAGAGGTACAACCAAATGAATTGTCGGGTTTTTGCATAGTTTATGTAAAATAAACTTTCAGGTATAGATGTAAGCTGGAGAAACAATTCCTGACTATGAATGAGAGATTTAACTTTGTTTCCTTTTTCAAGCTAAAATTCCATTGGCAAGGGAACGGCTAGCCAAGCTACATCACTGCTTGTTGTAAAAAATAGTGCTTATTTTGCAGAGTGGCTGAGTTAAAAAATGATTATGAAACTAACCACCAGTATTGTTTTCTCTTAACTAGGTGATGGTTCAGTGTTCCAAAGCCAAATAAAAAACTTACCTGAGTTAGTGGCAAGTTGTACAGTGACTTGAGTTTCTGAGTTTCTCGGTGGTGCTTTTTTTTTAATTATTATTTTTTTGCTTTTCACAAGGTATAAGCAGGCTGTGGCTATTGTTCTTTCTTGGAGTGTAGCATGGTCTGCAAGTGAGGTTTTGCAATCATGAACTTTAGCATCTTTAATTCCAAAGACAAAGCTATTAGCCATCTTTGTCCCCTGCATTAAAAGCTTCTGAATTATCATTTTGAGTATAGCAGTGATTCAGTTATTACACTGACTACAAACTTCACAAAAAAGTCTTTGTATCAAATTATACTGATGGGGTGATTTAAAGAGGCCTGTACAGTTCTGCTAATGCTGCCTGTTAATTATGGAGAAAATAATGGCAGAAAATGACAATGTTAATTTATTGAACATTATAATGTGAGTCAAGGGTTAGTGTAAATTTTTTTTTTCCCCAGTTTTAATTATTTACTAACTATACTTGTTAATCTGAAACATAGAGGTTTTATCTTATTTAGTGTCTTCTTGAATGTAATAAAACTTACATGCTAAACCAAATTTTCAGGTTGGTGTAGTCTCATGCTTTTTACACTTACAGTTGTCTGCAACTGAAAGTCAAAGAACCTGCTGATTCTCTAGTAAGTGTACAGAGCAAAACTAAGACTGTTCAGCTGACCTCAAGAGTATTTTTAAGTTATCCAGAGAATATTTGTGAGCATGCCAAACTTCAGTATTTGTACTTGCTGGGTAAAGTATATTTTGTAACTGCAGATTGTAATTACTAACTCTTCCTGCTTCCAAACAACTTTTCAAATTTAAAAAAAAAAAAAACAAAAAAAAAGTGGTTAGTTGTAACATTATGACTGAGAGTTCAAATGCTATTAACTTTTGAATAGCTGTAAGTTACTTTGACCTGGACCTCCTTTTTACCATTTTTTGCTGAACAATGACCAGGACCTCAATTAACTCTCACATGCAGATCATATCTTCTCCTTACCAGCAAACAGTAGCAGGTTGTCAATTGTTTATCTCCAGGATTAAAGCTAAACAACCCTTACTAGCTTCCTGCCAAAATCCTCCTTTATAAAGATATAAGAAAATACATGTCTCTGGACTAATACAGATTATAGGTACCAAAATGAATGCTAAGTAATTCGGTTCTGTTTACACTTCTAGCTAAAGGATGGATCTGAACTAATGGCAAACAGCAGCTACCCTCTCTTCAGAAGGCTGTTACTGTGAGTTTTGTCTTGTATTTTTACTACTTTTCTCTGTCTCAAAATACAACACGTGGCATGATGGTGGCCATGCACACAAGGAAGAGAGAGTTTTCCTAACCCGTGTAGGTACAGCTACTTCATCTTTACTTGCCAAGATAGCATCACTACTGCTTGTTTTAAAAACAGTATCACATTACAGATTGTTCTTCAGTAACCGAAATACAGATTCTCTTACCTCCATTCTGCAGGTACTTCTTCCAGCAGCAACCTGGCACTTGATTACATACTCTGTTAAAAATTACAGAACTAGAAGCTGGACATTTGTTAATGATAGCTAGAATGGAATGAACAAAGTTTGGTTATTTTAGATTGCTCCAAAGATCTCTTTTTTATTTTCTCAAGAGTTTACAAAAAAACCAGAAAAGCATGACAAGTTTTTATTTTTGCATGAAGATTTCAAGTAACAGAAAAACTCAGTTTACTAAGCCTGAAGAATACAGAACTGAACAAATGCATTCTGCCATGCTGTAGGCACTATGTGTAAAAACCTGGTCAAAACATCAGTGCAATTGTGACTAGAAGATCAAAGCAGTGCTATTACTGTTATCTCTCACTAACGGTAAAGCAGAATGGCAATCATTTTGTGTATGAGCAGTCTCACAAATCACATTTTAGGCCTCAAATAGCAAGCAAAGGAGTCATTGCTAATCACCTTAATGAGCTAAGGTGCAAACCCAGTTTCAATGAATACACTGAGCCAGCTGATCACAACATAAGGAAAATGTAGTTGAAAACCCTTTTTTTAGTTACTAAGCAGTTACAATTGGCCCAAGGAATTCTGCTTCCTAGCTCTTGCTTTATCTGTAGCACTGCAGAGGCCTTCAGCCAAGAATTTTTTCCATCAAGCTACTCGCAAGCATAATTGTCCATCATCTACAACCTTTCCTAGCTGTTAGTTCTGGAACAAGTCCTTGTAGTGCCAGTGTTTGAAAATGGCACTTCTACTGAAGGTAGGAGTCCAGTTTCTTCTTGATGTTATCAAAAGAATCCACTCCCATATAGTCAGCTTGGCCTTGTTCCCACCGAGCCTTGCGTTCTTCTGAAGATATGGTTGGTAATACTGGTGGTGGTGGTGCCGATACCGACATATGGGACACTGCCTCTGTAACCTCTGCCTAAAATAAAAGGCAGAGTAAAAAATACAGACAGATTTTGCATACGTTAAGCAAGCAACAGGCCACATAAGAGGGCAACCAAGTAGATGTTCTCATGCATAGCACCAAGCATCACCAACAAGCAGGGACTGTGCAGCTTTCCTAGCAAAATAAAGCAGAGTAACAAATCATTCAAGGAAAGAGGTGGGAGAGGGAGGGTCAGGGGTTTAGTTCTTCATACCTCTCTACAAAAGCCACAAGAGAAAGCCAGAGTATAGATCAAGCCTGATAGCTGCAAACAGTTCATTAGAAAAAGTTTAAAAGAGATAGAGCACATCTCCAAAGTTCTGTAACTTCAGGCTGAGAAGGATTAAAAACTTGAATCAGTCACTGTACTAATCTGACACTAAACTTTGCAGACATACTACTGAATTCTGTTTAAGAACTAGAATAAGAAGCATTATTTTGGTTTTGCAAGTATCAAGATTTATTACTGCAAATCTATTTAAGTAACCTATTCTCTAATTATTGCAGGCCTACCTAGGTAGGTTGTACCATGCAAGACTGCAAGTGTACACTGCATGCTCAACTGGGGGTTCTCATGTTTGAATAACTGCAGCACATTAAGGATGAGTTTACTGAAGTTACTACACTGTCATTTCTAGTGCATCATTCTGCACTTAATTTTAAGCATAGCAATCAACTATGCTCAAGACCACTTAATATTCTTCTAATCTGTATTATTCTTTATTCCAGAAATGAAAGAAGAAAAAAAAAAAAAAACAAGAATCTCTGTATCTCACTAATCCACACCCATGCTTTCAGTTGCACACGAGGGGAAACAAGTGAGATCACACAAAGTCTATTCTGTTTGCATAGGTAGTTTCCACAAGAATATTAAGATACATACCATGTTTGCACTTGTGGTATTTTCTTCATCAACTTCTTTCTGTTCTAGTAAGGGTAAAATATTAACTGTATAGGTATCCCACCACATGTTGAGGAATTCTGGGTGAACAATTTTAGGGTCATTGATATTGCCTTCTACACTTTTTGTTCTGGAGTCATACGTATAGTTCCATGGCTTTGTGCTTCCCAGAAAATGCACCACTTTAGTACTTGAACCAAATCTGTTGGAAAGAGAAAGTCAGAGCCCATAACTTGGAAGTATCTAGAAAACAAGTGCTTTGACTATCAGACAAGAAAAATTAACCTGTGTTTTTGTAAGTATCCAGAAAATAGAAACAGGAATATATTTAGGAGACTAAACACTAAAGGTAGGATTGTCAATGCCTACTGGGGCTGAAAGCATCACTACTTAAAATGCAAAGAATTCTACATTACACAGGTCAGAATACAGCTTAAACCTAATGAACTATTTCAGTACTTACAGCCAACTCTTTAGGTAGTGATGATCACAGCTCAGGAGACAGCAGTCTCAAGCAGCCACTGCAATCAGAACTAGTTTTAAAAGTGAAAGAAAGCCTACTGCAAAGTCAGTGATCCAGCTAGCTAAGCATTACAAGCATTATATAGTCAATGTATTAGAGAAACCCTAAATCTTTCCATAGAAGGGAACACCAGAAGGGCCTTCTACAAGAAGGCTGCCTCTGCAAAATAAAGCCTTTTATAATCAAGGCATTTCAGAACTTCTAATCTCACTGCAAAGTCTTGCTAGAAAGCCAACCATTACTTATTTTAATAACAAAAAATAGGATTTAGTAAGTTTCTTGAGCTATCTTAACTCCCATTTCAATATAGGCATCAAGCTTTGTTCCAATTGTTACCACTATGTTCTTTTTGCATTATGAATATTAATATTAATGAGAATATTAATATTAATTAATAATAATATTAATGTGGTCCATCTCCTGCAGTAAAGAACTTAAAAGATACAGCATTTATTCCATTATTCTACATAGTTTGCTCTGAAAGTAATGCCTCCTATTTATTTCCATGGAAACTACATCAGCTATGAAGAATACAATAACAGTATTGCACAGAATTATCAGCTATAAAACACTTTTTCAACACTGTCACCACCACTCACTATGCATTTTCGCCAGCAATAAGAACCTGCATGCCACTCTTGCAAAAATCTGCATGGCTGTCCAGAACTCAGCTGGTCTTTCACAAATCTGTTGCCACTGCTGAAATGCACCACCCACTGCCTCAATGTGCTGATATCCACTGTTTGGTTTCCATAAATATTCAGTGAGCATAATGGATGTCAATGGGTACCATTATTTCCCCATATGGAGCAATTCAATTCCATACCTTTGCTTCATCCGCACTTCCATATCAGACACCATTCTGTCAGACTGCCCCTCTGCTACCATATGTCACATGGCAACAGAAATCTAATGGAACACTGGTTCAGCCTCTACTGCCGTACCACCGACATCCACCTCTGGTGTCATGGGCCAAAATAAAATTGCAGGCATTACTTTCAGGGGAGCCCTCATATAATTCCAGAAATAGAGTTTACCTTGAGTCAGTTTTGGGAATTCTCTAGTAACAGCAACTGTTTGTGTCAAGTTAGGATTTCCTTTAAGAAGGATAATACCAAACAGCTTTGTCTAATAACTTTTTAATTAAGCATATTCTGGTCATCTTGACTAGGATTTGGATATTTGAGTTCTTCTACATAGAGGCTGCACAGGTAAATTTCAAATACTTGAAAATATACAAAACAAAGCAATATGCATTGCTACTGTGAAATACTTGACTATTCCCAATGTTTCAAACACAGCTGATTCTGAATGAAAACCCATGCACGTGTGAAACTGTCTAGAATTGCAATAATTGCAAGCAAACAACCTGCCTGGAGGAGGTCATTTCCCAAGCTCTAACCTTAAAACCCACATGTCAAGATTCAGCTTAGTAGGGCTACCTCAGTTATTAGCTGTGACACCGCTATCTAGTTTTCTTCATCTTAGGCTACTGTCACTCTGAAGAAACTTGTCATTGTTTAAAATCAAGGCTACTTGAAGTTTTGTGTTACACTGTTTCTGCAAATGAAGTGTATTCTTAGTATTCCTTCCACTGAAGACATGTACAAGAAATGACAGATGCCAGACTTCCAGGATATCCTCAGTATCTGCTTTCTAGATGCAGTACTTTCTTCGATATTTAAGCTGAACTGTTAGAAAGCTTTGCGTCTACACTCGTCAGAGCAACTAATCTTTCTTTCCTCATCTCTCATAAAAGACAATGTTTTGAAGTTAGACACCATTTGTCCTAAGTTGGCAATTTCCACTGGTGAAGGGATTACAGATACCTGCTTGAAATTTAGTCTTGCTGTACAATGCTACAAATGCTACTCTGCTATTGATATCGGTACATTTAAATTTCAGTCTATGTCAACTGATGATTACTGAGTAACTGCTGATCTAACCAAGAGAAGTTGTTCCACCTGCTAAAAAGAATGTTCTACTTAAAAGGGCTGTCCTTCCAGCGTAATAGTTTCTGAAGGTCTCCTGAGTTCAGCTAGGCAATTGATTGAATCAGTTATACAGAATCTTTGTCAGGAGCACCCAGTTCAGTAAGTCCATTCTGGTGACAAGATCATTTGTAAATTTAAGGTTATGTGACTACGAAGCAAGCAGCCATGAGAAGAACACATTTTTACAATAGATGTTAGCTTATCAAATGTTACTGAACTACTTAGTCATTCTCAGGCTTGCATGTATTTCTTTAAATAAGTACTCCACTTTTAGCATGACAGTATTTCAGATGCTGTTCTGATCACAAGACATAGTTTGATCTTGAGCCAGCACAGTCCTGCTTATGCTAGCTGCTGCTTTAGACACTAATAGCTTCATGTCATTCAAAGATCAGATTGTTTTCATGCAATTGGTACTTCCCCCCTCCCCCAGCATTCACAGCTCTTAATGAATATGGGTTTGGGTGTAACATTACAGCTTGCTTTTCCTGCTGTCCCCTTTCCTTCTGTCTGTTTTAGCAGAGTGACCTTGCCACCACCAGAGTATTTACTCGCAAGCCTAATTTACTACTGTTAAGGAAGAGTCAGCTTCTTCCTTATGCTGGAAGTATACAATAATATATTGTCTTTGTTCCCTTTTACTATTGGGGAACTCAGATCTAGAAAGAATCTTGGTGAGAATTCTAGCTCTATGCAAGTCTTTTTTCACTATGTTTAAGTGAACGTTTGATAAGTGTATTTAACAACTGGTAGTTAATCTAAGTAATTTGAGTGATTAAGGCAAATTATCTAGACAGGAACAATATCAACAATTACATGTTGATGTTCAGCTTAAGATGACTCAAGAGCTATTGTCTTTGGCTAGAGCTCTAACAAGCAGTATCCAGTACTGGAGCTCTGATTCTCCCTTCTGCAGGTGAGCTGTTAAACGTGCTTACTCTGAATCCATGTTAACGTTACACTGGGAGTCAGTGATTTAAGTTATTAGTACAGTTTACAATGCTCATCTTTCATCAAATGATGATTCATTTAATTACTAGAAATTCAGCTTATTTTTTTTAAAGGGTAGAACCATACACAGTATATTAAATCACAACAGTGGACTCCATTTAGAAAAACTTTTCAAGTTCACATTGTTCGTTACGTTACAAGACATTATTTTATATATGCTCTAAAAATCTTCTTAGAATTTTGAACTTACGCTTTAAATGCTGGAAGGTAAGAGTATACAGAAGTGCTGCTCAAATTATAAATAAATGGTAGATGTTTGTTCATATCTGTTGTTGCCCAGCTGCTGAAGAAGGTGTTTAATAACCCCTGGTCTGCACCTGAAAGAGAATGCATTAGTAGGCAACAAGCATTATTCAAATGCTTTAGAATCTTCTCAATCTACTCCACCAATTCTTCCTAATTAAGGAGCTGATAATGTAGTTTGTCAGGTACAGTAGGCATTTGGCAGCGAGCACTACAGTTTGTTTGTAAACAATCCTGTAAGCCTTGCAGTCTTTGAAAATTTGAAAAAAATGCAAACAGTGAAAAAGGTAGTGTGTGAGGTTACTTTTCTTACCTAAAAGACCGTGAGTTGCTCACAAACCCTGCCATTCAGTCTTTTGCAGTGCAGCTTCAAGCAATGTAAGGCAGCAGAAAAAAGGATTTGACAACTGGGTCCTGTAGATCTTCAGGATAGCTGTAGTTCAGATGTTCAAGTGACCACCATTAGTTTTATTACTTATGCTTACAGATACATGACCAAGGCCTCGGGGCTGGACTCAAGGTATCAGTGGTCTTTTAGACCTGCAACCTCAGGCATACCTAGCTACATTGTAATCTGGCAAGGAAAGCACATTCTGTCTAATAAAACTTAAATCCATGCAATGGAAGTTCCTAGCTCTGCCATACAAAGCCATCAATTAACCCTTACGTGGGGAGAGCTGTGTACATCATGACCAAAGGTACAGTGTTGGAATGGCTCACCTATCAGTTTGCAAGTTGTAATGAAGTCAGTGAGTTTGAAGTTGTTTGGTATGCCAGTAGTAGGGTAGTTAAAAATATAGCTCCTGCCCCAAAGTAGGTCATTTGACAAGGAGCTACTGAGAAGTAAAAACTACATATTTATTGCAGGGAATATACTTAGATTAAGTATATTCAACAATTTCAGCTATACTTTCTCTCACAAATCAAACTTGTGAGTGATTTTTCAATCTCATTTGCTGTTTTCACCTATAACTGCATTCACAAGTAGCACTGCTGAACAGCAGAAACATAGCAAAACACATAAATAAAACATATAAAACATATATCATCCCTTAATCTTTTATTTTCTGAAGCACTCAGTTTCTGCTGACTCAGAAAAAGATGATTTTTTTTTTTTTTAATTGCCTACAATTAAGTACAGGGTAGTACTAAAGTTTACATCCTCAGTGTAGTTTGAGAAAAATCTGCTTTTTGTGATTAAAGTATCTATATTGATCATGCACTTAGACTTACAGGAGATACAGTGACAAACAAGTTCTAAGTGTCCTGTTACAGCAGTCAATATATGTGAAGATTGGAGAGCAAGACACTGCCTACAGACTCAGATCAGTAATTTCAAACCTTTGACTTTCCTCTCAACCCCTAAAGACGCAAAGCACTTTTGAACAAGTTCCCTATTGCAAGAGAGCAAAGTCAAAGGAACTGGAGAAGTTCCCTGGTCTTTACTCAGTTATATAACATTTAAACTTCTGATTTAGCATATGCATTCATAACACTAGGTTCTAAACCAAACTAAGTCTTGGTGGCCCTCTCAGAAGAGGTAGCTTGTGACTAAAGGGTAGCAACAGTGTATTTAACTTACTCTACCTGACTTTATCACTCAGACTTGCTCCACACACTCAGCTTTTTTTTTCAGTTTGCGTGCATTTGTGCCAAAGCAGCCACTGAAATCAAAGTTTAGCTGTCCTAGCTCGGACTTCAGCGGTAGTCTTCTACAATTCGGCCCTTAAACATAAGGTAAGAGAGTCAGGCAGTATTTATATTTTCCACATATCTACAGGTAGTTCTGCTGCATGTCTTTTTATGAAAAAACAACTGTTTCAGATCCCAGAGTAAAAAGTCAGACTATTCTGCAGTAATATCAGTTGTTAAGGTATCAATACTATCAGAACTCTTTTAAAACCAGACTTTTTCCTCCACTAGTTCCTTATTCTCTGTTTGAGTTTCACTTTTCTAGATAAAGCAGTTGTTCTCTGTAAGTAGCTGTCATTCTACTATTCTTAGACTAAAGTATTATACATAAGAGCCATCTGTCTACTGTAGTTTATAACCACAAAATACATTAGAAGGTATTATATTTCCTAGTTCATACTCCTGCAGATAGGGTATATAAAGCTTGATTTCAATGACTTGTAGATTATGAAATTTGCATTCCTGTGCCCTGTTAAGGGCAGTGACTTCTCAGATTTTCACTTATAAGAAGTTTCCTATAAACTTTTACTAATGTCTAAGTCAATTGAAATTTAAATACTCTTTCTCCCCAAGTTCACAAGCTCAACACATCTTACACAAGTAGTAATAGTCTCCACCATCTCATTACTCAGGTAAAACCTGAATAAGTTCAACAGCCAAATAATAAATTACAATTCTAAAAGATGGCAAATGATTAATCCATTTTTCCACTAAGAGCTATAACAACTGCTGCATGTAGACAACATCAAGGATGTTACATCATTACGTGGCTCTAGCTCTGAAGTCAAAAAGAACATTGTAGAAGCAGCTGTACTCTCTTCAATGACAAGGGCCTTACACCTAGAAGATGGCAATTACTAGGAGTCGAGCACAAGGCTCAGAGAAGACAAATCTCAGATGTACCTGGAACTCTTCAGTCATCTTCTTTTTTAAATGCAACAATTCAGTACCATCTTACAGCTCTTGGCACACAGAACCATAGAATGGCTTGGATTGGAAGGGACCCCAAGGATCATCAAATTCCAACCCCCCTGCCACAAAAAGAAGGGCCACCAACCTCCAGATCTAGTGCTAGACCATGCTGCCCAGGGTCCCATCCAGCCTGGTCTTGAACACCTCCAGGGACAAGACCTGGAGCACCCACAGCCTCTCTGGGCAGCCTGATCCAGCACCTTATCACTCTCTATGAAGAACTTCCCCTTGACATCCAATCTAAAACTTCCCTCATTGAGCTTAAAACCATTCCCCCTCGTCCTAGCACTATCTACTCAAGTAAAAGGTTGATTCCCCACATCCAGAAGACCAATTTACCTCCAATGTGTGAAAGCACTCCTAAAGCTATCAACTACTGCCTTGTTAGTCATGAGGTACAGACAGATCCCTTTGTTACAGCACTAATTTTCACTAGGTTATTCACACTAAGCATCCAGCTCAGACCTATGCTCTCTAGGAGGCTGCACATAGGAACCCATGAATTAACAGATAATTCTGTGAAGTAGGAGTGACATCTAGAATTTTTATCCCTTACACGTACAATTTAACGGTCTTATTATACAGTTTTCTGCAGCACTTTTTGTAAAACTTTATTTCACGCCATAGTAGATAGATAATTAAATTTAGCAACTGAGACAAGTCTGGTTTTTTAGAAGCCTTTAACTACAACAGACTTCAAGGAATATGTGCATTTACTGCAATGGTTATAGATTGCCAAGACTAACAGGACATCAGAAGTTGGATTTTCAAGCTTAAATTTGGTACAGTGACTAATTGTTAATGACCTACATCTATAACGGACAGCAGCTGATGCTACGCACACCATACTGGTGAAAAATCTGGTCACCATCCTATAAAGATAAGAAGCTATCACATGCATATCAAGAGACTCTCACACCTTCAAGTATGTTAAGATTCTCTGAAGCTATACTCAGGTTGTTCAGTACTACATTTTTTCATCAATTTCAGTTCGCACAGCCTTGAGCACCAGAGACCTCAGAAGAGCTGAATTTAAAGTATAGTACTGCTGTTCAATTTGTTCATGCATTTACAGTACTGTTACATGTCAAAGCTTAGTGTTCTGTGATTCTGCATTGCTAATGCTTATAGAAGCTACTCTCCTTTGTCATTCCAGGAAATCTGAAGAAAGTAGTTCTATTATATACAGGAATATTCATCCTTCTCTATGATAATGCGATTTTGTGCAATTACATTGGAGTTCAGAATTGCATCATACACAACCCCTATGAAACATATCTAGTTCCTGTACCATCCCAACCACCATTACTATTTTGGTCTAACTTATATTGGAATACAAATTAATACATACCATCAAAGCTGCCTTTCTCTGTGGCAAACTGTAACAGCTGATTGTATGTTTCAATGGAAGGTCGGTAAACAAAAACTCCAGAATTAAAACAATCAGGCCAGCCTGGATCTGGTGCTGCAGACAACTCTTCTCTCTCAAAAAGCTCATCGATATTTGACAAAACCTAGTTGCAGGGGGGGCAAAAAATTGCTTTCTGGTTTCTAGGGTAGGAACTGGGGGTATCTTTTTTAATGGATTTTTGACATCCATCTTAAGACATGAAAGAAAATTCTCATATTGATGCTTGTCTTATGGAAGATGATACTTTATGGAGATAGTGCCCACAGACTACATGTTAAAGGGAGTTATTTAGGAATAAGTGTATGTACATTTTTAGATAGTTAGTCTAAACAGCAAAAATAGCTCCATTATCCCTCCTTCCCCTCAAAAGGAATAAAACATCACCAAAAAAAGTAATAATCCAACCAACCAACAACCCTCATATCATGTCTCCTGGTATCTCTTTGTGACACGACCACTTACCATTGTGTCTGCATCCATGAAAACACATTTTGAAAACTGTGTCAGTTCCCAGCAGTGAAGCTTAGTTAATGTGATACCCAGCTCAGGTCTTCTCAGTAATGCTAAATGTGCTGAGTCCCCGCTATCCAGGATGTCTACCAAAATGACTTCATCAAATACTTTCTGTAGTATGTTCCTGTGGAGAGATAAGTTGCCAAGATTTATGTGGTTCCAGTATTAGACTACTTAACAGATTCCATGAACAGAAGTAAAGCAACAGGGAACCTGTCAGTATTTCTTAAGCCATCAGAAAATTGACTACACATGTGGGAATCCATAACCTTGCATGTCAGTCTCAAGGTTTCTATTTGTAACAAAGAACTAGCTGAACTCTAATCAGTTGAAAAGGAAGTTATGCAATAACACCATTCTGAATATGTGACTACTAGAGCCATGTGATTAGACCCACTTGGAAAAATGTCTTTATCCAAAAAGCTTTAAGAGCTCACTTAATTGTGGCTCTGCGTACAGTAGCATTTTTGCCTAGTATCATGTTTGCCTTGAGGTTGATTCTTAAGTTTTCAGGAAGCATATGATTTCTTTCCCCAGGACAGATAGCCAAGCTTTGCTTTGCCATCATTGCTTAATTCAATAGAAGTTTACACAGCTTAAAAATTTGAAGCATCTGTAAAGCAATTACCTATTCTATATAGCATCTGGAACGCTACACAATTATGAGTACAATCTGAGACACAGAGCTTGTAAATGAGTTTTAGAACTCTGCTTTGCAAGATGTCTTTACATTGACAGTTTAGTATAGACAGCTACATCTGAATTTAAGGTGCAAGTTGTAGATAGAGAGTATGAAACTCAAGCTCCACTTACATAACCAGAAAGACAGGTATCGGTTGCTAAAGGTGTTATAAGGTCACAGTACTGTGTTGCACTAATACAGTATGCACACCTGTGCAATTCATTGTGAAGCCTTGAAATCACTTAAGTTAGAACAGATATACCCCTGTTTTTATAATGACAAGGCTATTCAGCTGTCACAGAACTCTCCAGAGATTCATTCCATTTATTACTGAGCTATTATTCTCTTTATCAGTGGTCCTTTCAGAAGTTCCTCATGTAGGAAATACTGATTGTACAGCAAGTTACTGCTCATGCAACCTGCCATCCCAGCCCTTACACATGGAAAAAGTATTATATCAGTTCCATGCTGAGACTAGTTTCTAGTGAGCTTGTAAAAAGTAGCTGTCTTAATTTATCTTACCATGGTTAGACTCAAATGCCTCTTGTTTTGCTGATTTATCACACTTGATGCTACTCTTGTTCTACTCATTCTCTCATGATAGAATTTCATCTGAAGCATCTGCTAGATTTCAAGAATGTTGCAATGGCACAATCTAGAATGCTTCTGTGAGATAAGTAGATACTAATTCCCCACTACCACACACGTGTATACTGCTACTGAAGGCCTGGGCAACGCTGTGTTGTCAGACAATCCTAAGGACTACAAAAGAGCAAAGATCCAGTTAGAATATTAAGTCAAATTATAGTGCTCTAACTATTGAGTATTTTTTAACCTATCATACAAGAAAAGCCACAAAACTTTCAAGTCTGAATCCCTCACAGAATTCCAGATAGTTTAGACTAATTCTCCTAAGCTTAGTTAAATTTTCAGAGTTTTGGAAAGTTACCATCAAGAAATCTCTTTCTTCAACCCTCACATCAGCAGAAGCTGTGGCAGTTTGACATATTTAAGCAACCTTACCTCATTGGATCAGAAACCTGAGGAGTTATGAGTGCAGTCAGCTTCCTCGTTGTTCCAGACTGTTGCAAGGATGAACCAAGTACAAGTGCTCCTTTCACATAGGAATCATTTGTGGCTAGAGTCACAAAAGACTGGTCTAGAAGAAATTAACTCGGTCAAAGTTGCACAATCCACTACTTTATTCTGAGTTAAATACACTAGAAATCTAGTATTGTTAGATAGCCATGTTGAAAGATCTTTAAGACACCCCCTTTAAACCTACCCATAAGGTAAAATGAAGAACGTTACTATTGCATAGCTATACTTGCTATTAGTAACTTGACACTTGCAAAAATAGAGTAAAAAAATTAAAGACTACTGCAAGGTAAAGCCAGTTCTAGTTTTCCTACAGGTTAAGTATGACATCCCAACATTAGAGAGGATCTAAAAGGTCTGCAGAGATTTATTTAGCTAATTACATGCTGTTTTTAAGCTAAACAGTATTGGAGTCAGTACACTTGCATTTTTTTCTAAAGTTACTAACAGTACAGCTTCATAAAGCTACACTGGGTTCAGCTCTGAACCTGAAGGCAGTTAGATTTTTTTTTTCATTTTCAAATGAAAGTAAACTTTGATTTAGATCATGGACAGTTTTATTGAAGACGAGTTGTTCAGCAAGAAATGGTTGCAGCTGTTTAACAAGAAAGCAAGATTTAAATGGGAAGCATCTAGTAATATGCTTAGCAATCATTTTTGCTCACAAGAGAAGTAGAGCTAGATTGTTACTGTCCAGTATATAATCTGTTACTTCAACAGTATTTTAAAAATATGCATCACCTTGTTGTATGTTCACTGAGGCCATATAATGCAAATTTTTGCCAAGATAGGACTGACACAGTCCAACGCGACTTCTAAACCCATTCACAGTTCACCACCAGCTGTTATTACATAGTAGCCCTTTACAAGCTACAACTCTTTATGAAGAAGCATACTTTTCTCTCAAAAAATCATTTCTGACATTACAAGCAAAATATTTTCTTGCAAAGAATTCACAAACTGTTTTTGACATTAAAAGTTCATTTGGAAAATAACTCCTCTTTACAAAGGTTGATTAGATGAAGATGGAGAACGAAGGCTCTAGGCACTCTGTAGCCTAAAATCAAGCATAGTACTAAGACTAAAACACTGACTGCTCTGTTTTCAGAAAGATTGCTTTTAGGGACAAGTGCTCACATCATGAGATAAGTCACGTTTTCACTAGTATCTTTTTAAATTACTGCCATCTGAATTGCTGGCAACAAACTCACATGATAATTGCCTATAAGCACAGCAAACTTGGTTTACAAACTCTAGAGGGTTTTGTTGCTGGCATGTACTTCTCTTAGCAGCACAACCAACCAGTCCCAAGAAACAGATTATGGCAGTCAATTACAAAATTTAAGGAAGCTTCTATAAATACCGGAAATCAATACTCTTTTTTCCATTTCACTTAATCTGTAGTAGTTCATATAATTCAGCAAATCCAAAGAACAATCTGCAGCTTCTTGAGAGCTTCGAAGCTTTACAAACAGCAAGTGTGTAAAATCTTAACTGGTATAAACACTCTTCTAACAGGGATCCATGTTTATTACTGAATTTGCACACTGCTTCTCAGCTACTCAATAAATATCCATTTGCCACTATATACTGATAGAGAACTCACTACAAGTCCAGCACAGCCAAAGTATAATTATATGCCAGCAACATTTAGCTGAATTATTTCCCCCTTCCAGCAGAGTAAGACTTTCTTGCTACTGACAAACTAGACTTTTTGTTTAACTTTTAGCTTTCATAAACCTAAAAAAATATATCTACTGGTTAGGCAGCTTGCATGACACACACAAAGGTTTTAGTGAAAATAAAATCAATTTAACAGAGAAGTAAGAGTTAGAAATTCCCCATTATATCTCAATTGCAGTAGGATGAACTACAACTGCCTGACAGAAGAATATTCACAACTTTTAGAGCACTGAAAATCAGTGAAAATATACTATATTTAAGACTTTGAAAACTATTTCATACCTTCTCTGAAGTACATTGATAGTACAAGTACGTTCATGCATTACACGCAAAACCACAGCACAATCTAGGCAAGACCAGTTAGTGTTTATAATGAAAGTTAAATCTGCAAGAGATTAGCCCACTTATCCTAACACAAAAGTTTCTCGTGTGGATAGGTTATGCTCTCACTGGAGTCATCATTATCCCTAAAACATAGTTAGTTCTTAGCATAGCTGCAACACAACATGAGTTACATGCATGCCTTCCTAATTATGTAGTTACAACAGCGCCCAGGAACAAGCTTCTACACAAGAGTCTTGGCACTGCTCCCTCCCCACACATGTAACAGAGCACTCTGGAAGCCCAAGCCATGATCAGCCTTCATGGGACAGCACGCAGCAGTGGACTGCTGTCTACCCCACATGTTCTATACCTGACTTGCGAGCTTTTAACTTGGTTTGGATACGAACTCCAACACACCCAGCGTTCTCACCGCTGTTTGCCTGTTCTCCCCCTCTCTGTTATAACCTCTCGGTCCTGAGTGCAAGATTCTCAAAGGCAAGAGCATCTGAACGAGATGCGCACGGGGAAGTGAGGAGCAATGCCCTACAGCCTTCCCGATGTGAGAGAGGAATCGGCACTGCTGGCAGCTCCACCAGAAGAGTCAGAGAAATCTGACGGAAAACAAGGCCGGCACACTCGCAGCGCAGCCGGCACGCTCGGAAGTTACGCACTGCCTGCCGCGTTTCAGGAACGGGGCTGCGCGTTCTCCGCAAGCTGCCGCACTCCGGCCGCGAGCTCCCCACGCCCCCTCGCTTCTCAGACCGCATCCCTCCAGCCGGCAGCGAGGCCTCGGAGCCAAGAGGGCGGCGCGGAGCGGGGCAGCGGCAGAAGCGTCCTCCCGGCCCGCAAGATCCCCGTCCCCACTCCTCGGGCAGCCCCAGACCACACCGGCTGCGGCATCAGCTCGCGGCGCCTCTGCATCCTAGCGCGAATCAGACCGAGGTCAGCAGCCCGCAGCGACGGCCACCTAAAAATAGGAACCGGCGCGGCCCGCCCCAACCCCGCGACGCGGCCGGGACGCGGCTGAGGAGCGCGCCGACCCCACAGCCCCGGCCCGCGCCGCCCCCGGCCCTCATGGGTCGCAGCGCAACTACCGCGCGCCCGCGGGAGGTGTGGCCGCGCTCACTGACCTGCCATAGTACCGGCTCCACGAAGCAGCTCAAACAAACGCAACAAACCACTACGCGACCCACCCTGCGGCCACCCCTAATATAGGGGCGGGGCCGCGCGCGAGACGTCTGCGGCCGGTGGGCGGAGCCCCAGGCGTCTCCAGTGCTGCAGGGCGGGGTGTCCGCCATGACCGGCTGAGGCGGCGGCACGTCGCTCGTGCTCTGGTTTCGGCACGCACGTGCGGGGTCGGCGGTGACCGCCTTCAGGATGCCATCCTCGTGCCTTCCCTTGGTGTTCTGTTGGCCGAGCTGTCCTTGAAAGCACTCCGCTGTGCGGACGGAGGTGACACCAAAGGCTTGGGCGGCGCTGCAGGCTGCCTGAACGTTACTGATGCTTTTGACAGCTCTCCCTCCCCCAGGGCAGCGTGTGTCAGCGGGCAGGCTGTGTATTTATTTCATACCTGGGGTTCCATCCTTGCAGAAATGTAAGCTGTACCTCTTTGGTAGGTAATGGAGAGTACAGTCTCCTGTATCTGCTAAATTTTCATCTTTAGGAAGAAAGGGCTATCTACAATAGTTCTGTGTCTCCTGAGGACATCAGCACTTCGTATCCATGCACATGGCCTCGCCAGTGCCATTGCTTCTTACCAGCTGGCAGCACTTCACCTAATGCAGACCATGATACCCACATCTTTGCACAAGGGCATGGTGCAAACTGTGCATCAACAGAATCCCAAGGTCCTCTCCTGTAATCTGTTGCTCATGGCAGGGATGTGTCTCAGCTCTGTCACTCAATACTTTGAGGGAAACCTGTCAGGAACGGGATTCCTTTCTAACCTGAAGCGGCTGACAGTTTGTCGTGCATGGATTTAAAAACTAAACAAATCCTCAAGTGCAAGCTGATGAAAAGTCCCACCTCTTGCAAATTTCCCAGATTTGGGTGATTATGTTTGAAGTGAAACAGTTTTTGTAAACCCTTCCTCAAAAGCAAATTGCTTGCTTTAATAAATGCTAAAATAAGGGAAACATTCCTTGACCACTATAGTGGAAATGCTGAGTCATGGCCTGAACCACTGAGCACCTGGTGGAAGGCAGGGCCAACCCAGTGCACCTGAGCGACTGGAAGGGGTACAGCCAGGATCCATCCCCTCCCAGACCTCATTTAAGGGCTGGCAGTGGAGGTGAGGATATTTTACTTGAGATCTTTGCTCATTTATTTTAAATGGCAAGAGAATTTGGAGGATAGCTAACATAAAGCAACAGTGATGTTGCTTGGAATTTCATTTCATTCATTCAAACCCTGGTCATTTCTATGTGACAGGACTGTACAAAACATCAGCAATACAGATCTCTGAACTGCTTTCTCACCTATCTTTCTGACAATTATTTCTTGATCATCTAACAGCAGAATGTGTGCATTCTTGCATTCTTGATGTAAGTAGACTTGAGGAGTGGAGTTTTATCTTAGGATGCTCAGGGTTGCACAAGAAAAGGGCTATTAGTCAATGCTACAAGAGTTTGATCAGATGTCTATGTTATCAGCTTCGTTGCAATGCAAAGCAGTGGTCTCTAGGTGTTAAATCCCACTTCCTTCTAAAATCAATGTTATGTATGCTTCAGGATGGAGGTTTTGTCACTGTGGAAAAATATATATGTTGGACACAAAAAAAAGAGAGAGATCTGATGAACAATTAAAAGAGTGATAGAAAGCTGAGTCAGCCTTGCCACACAGACTGATGTTCTACAGTACTGTAGATTCCAATTAAGGAATGGATAATCATGTTTTCTTTTGGAAAACTGCAGAAAACAACTGTTTTCTGTGCAACATTTACAGTGTCTATATGAGATACACTGGGTACATTTGCCATCGCAGATGTATCATTCCGAATAAATGCCATTGTGTTAAAAGCTTGATCTTTACATTTATTCTTCATTGTAGTTACAGCAGCTGTCAAGTGTAACTGTCTTGCAACGTATGCCTTATGAAACAAGTCTCTTAAAACTTTTGGGTTTTTGTTAGGAAGCTGGGCATAATACACATGACAACATCATAATTTGTGAATTGAGCTCCATGTATCAGTCAAGGCTCAATGTTGATTTTCTAGCTGCGTAGTTTATTCAAACAATAGCATTATTTGTACTGTGCAAACACTGAAACAACATTGCATGCTCTTTGCACTGTATAGCCTGGTTATTTTGTGATTGTCTCTTATCAGCATATTCATCAATGTTTCCCCACAGTTTCTAGAATGTTCACAGTCCTGGTGGAGCAGTTCTGTTCCCCGGGCTGGGTAAAGCAATCATGTTACATAGGCCCGTGTATGGGAACTGTTGATCATGGCCTGAACCTCTCATTGACCACCTGAGGCAAGCACTGAGTCATCCACGGAGCACAGGTGAAGGCAACTCCACCAGAAGTGGTGGAGCCTGGCTGCAACTCTCCTAGATCCCATTTAAGTGCTGACTGCCACTGAGGAAGGACCTGTGTCTGGAGATTGCTCCTTGTGGAGTTTCACCGTGAGCCTATGATAGTAGTGAGCATTTCTATTTATTCTGATTGTTTTTCCACTGTGGTGATCTTACTAAGCCTGACTTCTGTGCACCTATTGGTTGTACAATTGTACACCCGCTGATTGCATGGGCACCTCTTTCCCTATATTAGTTGTTTGTAGAAAGGTAAATTTAATTATAGGTAGTAGTAGTTAGGGGGGTAGGATGGTATGGATGCTTGGTTATTTGTTTTAAAAACCACAATTAGTGTGATAAGAAGGCCTGGGCTATACTTGCTAGTGACTTCACGTTTTGATACTGTCTGCTGTTTATGAAGTTCACTTTGTTACAGGAGTTGATGCTAGCGCAACTCTTGGGGCTGGTGCTTGGGGTTTGATGCTGATGAGTTTCAGTAGGCTTTGAATCTTCAGAGTTTCTCAGTATTATCATTGTGGCTGTATTTTTACTCACTGTAGATACATAAAATACTTGAAAGCCCTGTAGCACTTCTAACTTCATAGTATCTTATGGAGTGAACGCCACTGGGTAATTTTAACACTTTGTCAATGCCAAATATAGGCTATAGATCCATTCCGTTCTGTGTTCCTAAGTATCTTTTGGAGAAGCCCTGCTTATGGTGACACTTCTCAAGTTTCAGGAAAGATTTAAGGCTTTTTTGTTATTGCTGCTGTTTGAGGTATATTGCATTTCCTCACAGCAATTGTAATTTAAAAGGGATGTTCTGAGTATTTTCAATCAGCAGAGGTCACTGCTCTGATGCTTCTAGGTTTTATTGTTGTGCTCTCTGCTAGAAGAGGCATAAAAAAATCATAGGTAGGAATTCACAGCCATTATTTTTCATCTAACTGTGTATTTGATAGCTTTTACAAAAGGGATAGTACATTAATGATTCTAACCAAAACAAAAACATACTGTTTGTACGTAAACTGGGTTTTGTTTTATTTATATGTTTAATGGGTATAATGGTCCATCAAAGAGATCTCAGGTTTTAGCCTATAGGTTATTATTTGCTTAACTCTGATATGGCTTACATTCAGGAAGGCCATTTGGATAAAGTACAGTGTGACTTACATAAATATTTTGTATTGAGGAAATGTTTCATTCAGGAAGCGGTACAGCAGAGAGTAAACATCTATGTATGGATCAACTACAGTGTGCAAAAAGCATAGTAGAAAATACTTTGTTTCCAGAGTCTCCTTTCTTAAGCAATGTCACATCTAATGTCCATAATTTCACTTAACTTAATGTGCTTTTTCCTTATGGCACTTTAGGTATATTCAGAGCCACTGATAGGCTTCAAATATAATATGGAAATCTTTAATGAGACTCCCTTGTCGTATATTAAGGAGGACGTTGTTTTGTACTGGAGTAATAGAACTGAAGGAGCAAGTTCTGTGTTTCCTAATGACTTCTATTTATATGCTTGTTTTCTGTTCAGTTCTCTATTGCTTCTTACCTGAATTTGAAAACTTAAGATAGATCAAGGCTGTGCATTGTTCCATGTAGGAAGTGAAAAACATGGAAGAGCTGAGACAGCAGAAAGAGTAGCAGTTAGGAGTATCTGTAACAGGATGAAGGACTCACGGATGTTAGCTTAGCAGCAGGAGAAATCTTAGGAACTGCAGAGTCACAATGGGGAATATGATTATTAAACTATAAAGTTAACGTGGAGGCAGACAGGAGCAGAAGCTATAGACTGTTGCAGGCTTTTTTTTTTTTACTTTTTTTTTTTTTTTTTTTCAAAAGCAGTTCACACTAAGCAACTCTGATAGGAAAGCCTGTACAATGCTTGTCTCATAAGTGCTTGTCACAGATTTGAAAGACCTCAGAGTCCAAATAGACAGCAATGGGTATAATTGTGGTTGATACAAAGAGGGTTAGTACTGTCTGCAGTGTTACAGGGATTGAACAGCAAACTTCCAGGTACTTCAGTATGGCATCTGTGGAAGTGAAACATGACTAAGGGTAATAGGACACACATCTTGGCATCTTTGATTATTTAAATGTGAGTCAGGTGCATGACATCTTCTGCATATGTAGTAAATTATCATTGCCATGATAGTCTTGAGACATAAGAAAACAGGAATTTGTAGGTAATCTTTTACTGTGTAAGCTTAGAGTAGATGACCTTTTCCAGGCAAGTCCTGCATTAGTCTGAAATAGGACCACAGACTCAATAGAGCAACCAGTTTTATGGCATATCATAATATTCTTCTCTATTCAACAGTCAATAACGTGCCTGTTTATCTCCCTCAGCACTGTATCCTCATTCATTGCCTTACCAACTTCTCTTTTATTTTAAAGAAAGTCAGCATCTTGCCTCTCAGAGGTGACCTACCTGATGTGCCCCCAGCTAAACTCTGAGCAAATGAGTTCTGTGTAACTCTGCTAATTTTATTTAGATCTGTTGCTTCTGTTCTGGACCTGACAGAGGCCTCTGAGTGATCAAAACCTTGTCTGCTTTTGCCAGTTACATCGTTGACATAATGCAGCATAGTACCTCTGTCTGCAGATCTAGTTATTAGTTTTTCAGGGATAACAAAATGAATGAAGATCTTGAGTAGGTACTACACTCTCAGCATTTCCCTCTAAAGGGTAAAAACTTGAGTATGTATTCATTAA